AAAGAGGCCAGAGTGCTTGTAACCCAGAGAATGGGTCTTCTATTTAATGTTCTTTCAGAACCTATCAGGTAATGCACCAGTCAGGTAACTTTAAATATTGAGACCAGCTTAGGACTTTTCTTGGATCCTAGAGATACCTTTCTAAGTCTCATATTTCTGATCAAGGAACTTGAGTCCAGTTTTCTCCTGGACTGTGACAGACTAGCACCTGAGTATTTGTGAGGTTTCTTTCTTAATGGGACCCTGGTAATACTTAAATTACTAATCTACCTCTGCTGGCTTTCTCTGTAACTAGAATTAGTTTTCACCTAGATATATTTGAATGTTGAAGTATCTTTGAGTTTATACTGATCACATAGAAATGTTTCCGTTATTTCACTTCTATAGGAGTCCCTTCTACAAACAGAATAAAAAGAGGAAAATATGAAATAAAACCTATTTTCTTACAGAAATTTTTGAATTTACAGTTGAGGAATGGTAGAATACATTTCATATGCTTTATGTTAAAAATACCACGTCTTTCCTGTATTATTTATTATAATGAATTAAAGTAATTATTATCAAATCATCATTTACAGTCTAAAGAAGAAAAGGAATTATTGTTTTAAGAAGAACAAAATAGAATATTGTTATGATTTAATTTCCAGTTATTAGTAGCTAAGTTGATATCATAAGGTAATTGTCTTTGATCATAAGATGGAGAGTATCTTATATTTTTAAAAATATTTATTTAGTTGTAGATGAACACACAGTATCTTTATTTATTTTTATGTGATGCTGAGGATCAAACCCAGTGCCTCACACATTCAAGGCAAGTGCTTTACTACTGAGCTACAACCCCAGCCCCTTATATTTTATTACCACAGTTCAAGGCCAAAGATCTGGCCCTGGGGCTGCCAACAAATCAGTTATAGGCATGAGTCACCCAAACCAAACCAAAAAGTTATGGTAGAAAGCAGGAAAGAAACTTTAATCAGTATGGCCTTAACGGGAAGACAAGGGGACGGGTATTACCCGCTATGTCTTCAGAATACTGACATGAACTCCCAAATATATAGGCAAGGGGGACCAGAAATATACATAGTCAAGCAGCCTTGGTCAAACTGTGGTCTGGTAGATTATCTCAGGATTGGTTGGGTAGGGATTTATCCAGGAGATAAGAAAGTTGCTATTCCCTATGGGAATAATTTCAACTYATCACAAAATGTTTATCAATTACATTAGTTGTTTCTAGAATCTGGGATCACTTGGCAAAAGAGACAGATGGAAAATGGAGGCAGAAATGCCAAGTTTTTTTTTTTTTACATTTGCAGGCCCAAGTGAAATCAGTGCTTTTTAGCAAAAGCAGCCTCTAAGTCTTTTAATACTTTTAAATGATTATGAAAATAGAAATTAAGAGTTTGAGATTGGAAGGCTTGATTCTGTAGGAGTTTTCATTTGTTTCCACTCACTTTAATTATAGATTCAAAGATCSTAATCAACTATTATAACTATTATTTAAGAAGTTATTATCAGAATCAAATATCCAGACTGCCCAATTCTCTAAGTGACCAACATTTGGGAGATAGGATTTGAGAAGGAATCAGGCTTATTCAAAGCAGGCCTGAAGAGGATGGAGGGTTATCTCCTCAAAGCTCTATCTTGTACCTGCATACCCATGTTTACAGTGGCACTATTCATAACAGCCAAGTTATGAAATCAGCCTAGATGTTCATCAGCAGATGAATGGATAAAGCAAAAGTGGTGTATACACACAGTAGAGTAGTATTCAGTCATAAAGAAGAATAAAATCATGTCATCTGCAGGAAAATAGATGGGACTGAAGATCATCTTGTTAGTGAAATAGCCAGACTCAGAAAAACAAGAAATACGGGCTGGGGTTGTGGCTCAGTGGTACAGCACTTGCCTCACATGTGTGAGGCACCGGGTTCTATTCTYAGCACCATTTGTAAATAAATAAAACAAAGGTCCATTGACAACTAAAAAAAAAAAATTTAAAAAGGGAATAATATCATTAAAGGAGAAAGATAAGTAATACATGTTTTCTCTCATGTGAACTCTGGGGGGGGGGATGACATGAAAATAGAAGGACGACAATTTAGGGAAGGGGACCAGGGAAAAGGGAATAAGAGAGGGGAATAAAGAAGATGGATACAATCAAGGCATGTTATMTGCATGTATGGAAGTGTCACAAGGAAATCTATTAGTATGTGCTAATAGGTATTTTTTTTAAGCTGYCTATTTTTTTTGGTGGGGGTTGGAGTTTTTGTTGCTATTATTGTTTTGTTTTTGTGGTACTGGGGATTGAACCCAGTGAGTCTACCACTGAGTTATATCCCTACCACTTTTGTGTGTGTGTGTGTGTGGTGCTGGGGATTGAACCCAGGGCCTTGTGCATACAAGGCAAGCACTCTACAAACTGAGCTAAATCCCCAGCCCCTACCACTTTTGTATTTTATTCTGAGACAAGGTCTTACTAAATTGCCCAGTCCTCCCACCTCAGCATCTCCAGTACTGGGATTACAGGTGTGTGCCACCATGCCAGGCACAAAGGGCTTTCTTGGGAGGGGAGAAGGTGATATAGTGAGCAGAAGGCTCTACCCTGGTCAGGGTCCTCATCAATCATGGATGTGTTTCCCTTTTTCTTCTCTAGGTGAACATTGCAATGGACTTTACCCTCCTGTCATGAATTACTAAGACCTAGAAATGACTGCTCCTCTGCAAAAGGGCCAAAGGGAGGGGGGCCAAAGGGAGCCAGAGCAAAGGACAGTTTCAAAGAAACCCCTGTAACAGAGATGGYGGGCTACAGTTGTGAAACAATGTAATGACTTGGTCTTTGCTTCTTAACCAAAGAAGATAATTTCAAAGYTTTGCATTTGTATCTTATGCTGCCACCTGTGAAAACATTTACATCTACAGAAACAGCCAGGCATGCCCCCAGAGCTCCAGAGGCTGGGGCAGGAAGATCACAAGTTCAAAGCCAGCCTTAGCAACCTAATGAGACTCTGTCTCTAAGTAAAAAATAAAGAGGGCTGTGGATGTGGCTCGGTGGTTAAGCACCCCTGGTTTCAGTCCCTGATACAAATAAATACATAAATAAAAAATAAATTAATAAATAAATCTAAGGAAACCATAGAAAAGTGGATTGCTATAAGTCACGAACACCATTGTTTTGTAGTTTTTTACACTTATATGCTTGAGATGTCAATGGTGTCATAAGCAAGCTTGGTACAATAGAAAGACTGGTTTAATTGAAAAATTAAAGTGGGGCTGGGGTTGTGGCTCAGCGATAGAGCACCTGCCTATCATGCGTGAGGCCCTGGGTTCAATTCTCAGCACCACATATAAATAAATAAATTGAATAAAGGTATTGTGTCAATGACAACTAAGAAATATTAAAGAAAAAAAAAGAAAAGAAAAATTAAAGTGGCAGAGATAATAGGTGGGACARGACTGTAATTCCAGAGACTGGGGGAGGCTGAGGCAAGAGGATCATGAGTTCAAGGCCAGCCTGGTGGGCAGCTTAGCAAAACCCTGTCCCAAAATCAAAAATAAAAGGGATATAGCTCAATGGTAGAGCACTCTTGGGTTCAATCCCCAGTATAAAAATAAATAAGTAAATAAAGTGGCATAGATTTAGGAATAGAGTGACTGGAAATGGGTATGTTGATTTCTTCCTAGGACAAGTATAGATGGAGGCAGTCCTTGAAGGAGGGCATACGTGAGGACTTTGCCAAATTGGGTGAGAAGAATGTTTAGGAAGGGAAGAGCCATGAGACAAAATCAAGGACATGAGGACTTTGTGGCTGGAAAGGAACTGGAGTATGCAGTTGGGTAACTTGAGAGTCAGGCTGAGCCTAAGCTCCTGACACTGGGTCAAGAACTGTGGTCATCCCTCATGTTTTACTTCTTCATTTGGGAAGCCCTGACCTGCGTGCTCCAACTACAGATGAAGACTTTCACTGCCATTTCAGTCTGTTAACTTGAGGGGATTTGTTGAAGGTTTATTCTATGCCAGTCACTGTGGTAGGGAGCTGGGGAGGTAGCAGTGGGGGAGAAAGATAGTCCCTGCCCTCACGGCTTCCTTCAGTTTAGACCTAGCAAATTTCATTTGAAATGAAGAGAAAGAAGAGGAAAGAGAGAAGGAGTTTTGTAGTTTTGGCTGGAGGGAGTTTTGTTTGTAGAGGGCAAGCTGAAGTTCTAGTGCAGTTTCTGTTTGTGGAGGTTCCACTTGAGTCTTTTCTTCTCTTGTTATAATTTTCATGTAGCCCCCCTCAACTTTTGTCTTTCTCTTTGTGTAGCTTCCCCGTTACTGTGCTTCACAAATCCTAGCTGCCTTGACCTCATGAACTCTGATATGCTTTTCCTCCACAGCCAGCTTATGGGGCTCTATTTAGGTCCCCATTCCTGAGCTGGGACCTGGAAACTGCCTCTGGGCAGTAAACTGGAGCAATCATAGGGACGCATCTCATTGTTTCTCTTTTCTCAGGGATCTCGATTGCCTGCAATGTCTGAGAATTGTTGTTTCATGTATTTTATTACCTTTCTAGTTATATAAAGTGAGAAGGTAAATTCAGTCCTTGATGCTCCATCACAAATGGATGCCAATGTCTACAGTTTACCTTTGAGGTCTTATTTCACAGCAAATGCTTCCTGAGTAAGTTCATATCTGTGCCATATATGAATGGTATTGTATTAAAAGAGCCATGGACTAGGAATAAGATCCAGTTTCTTTCACTTGCTTGMTATTTAAATTTGTGTTTCTTACAAACAATATGGTGGTTCTCAACTCAAATGACATAATTAATTTGWTGTCTCAATTTATTTTCATCTATAGAGGGAGAGTTTGAACTGTCTTTATAGCATATGGACATGATATAAAATGTGCACACAACAAAGTATGTCATTTGGCTTAGTTTGAGCTATTTTCAAACCGAAGCTAGTATGTTATCTCTGAACAGTCTTTATTATTTGTCTTTATTACTTCCATGTATTTTTAGGCACCATACTGGACATACCTTTCATGTGCCCTGGGACTCTTTATCTACCAGTCACTGGATGCTATTGATGGGAAACAAGCCAGAAGAACAAATTCTTGTTCTCCTTTAGGGGAACTTTTTGACCATGGGTGTGACTCTCTTTCCACAGGTAAATTAGCATTTTCTTCCCCACCCTCTCTCTGTAGTTTTGTTTTAACACTGATAGCTTAAAAACCAAAATGAACCAAGTTGTTTGCTCTTTTTTTTTTTTTGCAGAGGTGTACATTTGGGAGCAATTTGCATAATTTGTTTAAAAAGGATGTTCAAAATTTCATTTTGTTAAATAGACCTTATTTTAATGCCAGAATTATGTCCTCTGAAACTCTGCATTTCAAAATAGCACAGGGCAATTATTTCATTGATGATTTTTAAATTCGTAATGGTCTTTAAACTTTGTTCTTTCAGTATTTATGGCAATTGGAGCTTCGATTGCTGCTCGCTTAGGAACTCATCCTGACTGGTTGTTTTTCTGCTCTTTTATTGGGATGTTCATGTTTTATTGTGCTCATTGGCAGACCTACGTTTCSGGCATATTGAGATTTGGAAAGTAAGTATGTGTTTTCAAGTTGTATATTTAAAAATGTAAACAAATTAATTTTCACAATCTGATATGGCATTTGTTCATGATAAAGGAGGTGAAGCTTCATTCAGTAATTTAAATTCTTTTAAATTTATTAGAGTGTTCCATGCATGCTACATCTTCTAAGTCCTGTAGRTGTTCTGCATGTTACAGACATGTTATTTGACAATAGTTTTATTTTCTTCCCCCATTCTCCAGCTTCCTCACTAGCCCAACTTTACTATAGACAGGGAAAAAAGAAAAATAAGGGGTCCAAATAACATAGAAAAAGAATTTGTAGTATTTAAATAAACAGCATTTGACCCTTATAATAAGTGACAAGTGATGTGGAGCCTAAGGTACTCATTGGTCAAATCATCATGTGCCCCAAAACAGAACCCCCCTTGACAACCATCAACAATAACAGGTAATTGTGAGACTCTCAGCTGTGGACACAGTTGGTGAAATGATCTACAAGTGCCCTGTAAATGCTGGAGCCTTGTACCAGATGCTATCTATGCCTCTGGTGCCTCTTTCTCAGACACCAGGAAATAGTGCATAAAGCAGAAATGCTGTTCTGTATTCTTGCTTCCCCATGTAGCTCTCCCCCTCCACTTGGTCCTTGAAGACCTTCCTGCTGTTTGCTCACTCTCAGTTTACCTTCCTATGTCTACTGATTCTTTTTAGCCCCATTTTCTTGCTGCATAGGAAAATCAGTAGCTCTAAGAAAAAAGAAAAAACATAACTAAACTCCTGATATAATGAGAGGAAAAACTCAAAAGTATAGACCATTTTGGAGCAGTAAGGCTTCAGGCAACTTTTCATATTAATCCCAAATTTTGGAGTAATTGCAACTACCACCTACTAAGCACTTGCTTGCTTTAGGCACTGTACTAAGTGTTTTCCATACATTGTGTCTTTTATTCCTAACATTAATCCTGGAAAATGGATGTTACCTCCACTGTACAAATATACTACCAATAAATGATAGAACCAAGACTACAACTCAAGTCTTTGACTTCATGCTCTTAATAACTGCTGTCCACAACTATGAGTCTAGCAATGTATTACATGTCATGGAAAGATAGAAAATACATGACAGATAGAGGCCCTCTTTTAGGAACTATGTGGGATATTTCGTTAGAGATAATACTTCTGTGACAATGATAACAGTCCAGATCAAATGTGAAAAGACTTACTTTAGGTTTCCAGAATCACTGAAGAAATCCTAAATAAGAAGAAGGTAACTAATAGGCTGAACTAGTTTAAGAGAGTTTTAATAGAAAATGTGAAAATTAGTTCTTTACATACCAGTCAAGACCCATGGATCAGAAAGTACCAGTAAACATTCAAGGTAACTGTGTAAAATTAAGAATCTGTACCTAGTTATAGATTAAGATATGGTAAAATAGAAAAGCACCTTTTCAAAATCAAATGCATTTTAGTTAATTTGCTATGGTAAACTGGAGTAATATAATGCAGTGTTCTGGATAATTATTATTAATGACTAAAAATAAAACTTTTTTATTTCCTTCATTAAAATTATTTCTGGGATGAATTAGTTCACATTTCTGGCCTCACTGTAAATTTTACTCCCAATTACTATTGATTGAGAATCTTGAACTGGAAATACAAAGATGAGTCACCTGTTACAAGAATATGCCAGACACACTGAGGAAGAGCATTCTACTCAGAAGAATCAGGAAAGTACTTAGAATATTAGAGAAATGGCTAGTGAATGAKTACCAATCTTGGAGGAAGTAAAGGAGATCCTTCAGGGTCTCAGGGTCAGCCATTTAAAYATTAACACTTATTTTCAGCTATGTACTTTTTTTTGCCTTACCAAAGTAAAAATACTATGGAGAACTGAATTGGATAGGTTGAGGGTCCTGCTTAATACTACAAGAAGGACTATAAACATACCTTATGGAAGTATGTAGACTGACCTCATGTCAGTTGTCCCTGCTAGGATGGATTTCCTGAATGTCTGTCATTTTTAACATAATTTTTATAGTATATATGGTATTTGAAAATAGATACATAAAACCAAGATGAACACTATCAGAATATACTTCAGAAATTTATTTCATGAATACATTCTTGGTTTAAGCCTGTTTTCTGTGATTTTCTGTTTCTTAAAAGACCTAAGAAAAAACATACCAAATCAGCTTGTTTTGTTGGGCTGAAAAATGTAAGGTTTTACTAACATTGCTATATTTTTTGCTATATCATTTTTTCCAATTTTAATACCCCTTTATGCACTTTATTAGTAGTCTACTTTAGTATAATAGTTGAAAATAGAGGCTCTTGAGTCAGATTGAGTAGAATCAAATTCTGGCCCCTACCTACTAGTTAATTTATCAGAAATATATTAGTTTCATTTTTTTCCATTTCTTTACCTATCAAATTAGAACTATTGTCATAAAAAGTTATTGTGAATATTGAACAACAATGTATGTAAAGTACTTAGCACAGAATCTGGAACATAGAAATATTCCATAATAAAGTTAGCGTTATGATGCCTTGCTATTTATATTTTAATTCAATTTCTTTGGTATGTTTATTTCCTCAGGAGTGACATTAAAAACTAACCTTTCCTAAAAGAAAAACATATGTATTAATCAGTGAGATAGTAACTGATGTCAAATGAAAAGAAGCATAGGGAAGTTGAATCAAAACAGATTTGAGGATGGGAGGTTAATATAATTTATTGAGTGGTTTTATTGAATACTGGAGCAATGAATTTGAATAAATATTTTATCAAATATTGATTGAGCATCCATTCTACGCCCTTTCCTAGGTGTCATAATAAGAAGAACAAACAAAACAGACAAAATCACTGATTTCATGCAGCTTACTTTCTAATCTTGGAGACATAACAGTAAAATATGCTAAACAAATAAATACTGCAAATAGTAAATTGGGTGGTGATAAGTGGTATGTGTCAAGAACTGTAAGGGGTCTGATATTTTACCTACTTATAAGCTCCAAGAAAGCCTGTTAATGTTTTATGAATGCCTGCAGAAGATACAAAGTCCTGGGTCAGAGGCAGAGGACAACATTATCTGGGCAAAAACAACAGACAGAGGTTCCTGTTGTGCCACATTTCTATGCCTGACCCTCTCCCTAGTCTTGTGGGGACCTAGATGAATGCCTGCACCTGTAGTGGGTTCCATAAAGAGAGAACTTTGAGGATCTGTTTAGTTTTATAGCAAGCAAAAGCAAACCTGTTTAGGGAAGGTGTAACCTCATCTTTCAGGGTTGCTCACAACATTCACAACCCTGGAAAATGACCCCAGTTGAGTGTTGTCATAAAAAGTTATTGTTCAGACATAAGCTTGCATTCTTGGCACATATGCAGGGCCWCACAAGGGTATTCTGGGTCCATGGCAGAAAGCCTCTCATAATTGTGGGAAGAAAAAAAATAAGGAAGGAAGAGCAACTATTTAAACACTTCTTTTTTCCTTATGAATATAAAACACTGTCCTGTATTGTTCCACAGAATAGAAGTACTACCTGTTTTACTTGGATGTTAATTGTTAGGTTGACCTCTTAAAAATGTGTAATTTCACTACAAATATGAACTTGTTACCTTGAATCAGATCATTAAAGCCATAATACATTAGTAACTACTTTAACTCTAATTTTAAACTTTTACCTTAGTTTATGTATTGGTGTTTAGTTTATGTAGTTATAAATATAAGTTTATCAATGGTATATTAGATTTTCTTTAACACAGTTAGCAGAAAAATTTACAGTTAAAATCTGTTCCAGGTCTAATGTTTGCCATATAAGATAGAGCATATCTTATTTATTATAACATGCTTGTTCCCATGTAGAATCTTATGTAATTCAGTAAAGCAGGGTTTAAAATTTAATTTTTAAAACTAAATCAAGCATTTTAAGTTCAAGTCCAGTGTTAACTTGTATTATGTGGTACTTTTWAAAAAATCAACATGTGAATATTTAGATTCAATGTTAATTTTTTCCTTTCTTTCAAAACCTTTCTATCAGATCTGTTTCTAAGACCACGTTTGGGAGGAAAGACTCCTTATCCCCATCCAACCTAGAATTACAATATACAATTTTAAAAAAAGCAGACTTATAAAATATAATCCCCAATATTTTATTTGATTCAACACACAAAATATTACTGTTAAGTTACTGAAACTTTTTCTACTGCTTACTCTCAATTCTGTAACCCTCTCATTGTGGACTCGTAAGAAACTCTGTACTACTTTGAATAGCACTATTGTAGATTGTCCTCAATGTTAACAACCTGGGGACTTATAGGTATTATGCCATCATATCCCCAATATCTATTTTTCTGGCATTTTAAGCCTTTTGAACAGATTCTTAACCCATTAATTAATTCTCTAAGCCTATGAGTTGTTATATAGAATAGTCTTTGTATAATGTGTCCTTCAAACTCCAATTGTTTCTTCATAGTTCAAAACTTGAGGATTGGTGAGTGATTCCACCCTTATACTCCCTTAAACTTTGTTATTTACTAGATCTCARTGTTATCTTTTCAGCTTTCTTTTTTTCTAGACTTAACAGGCACAGAAGTAGGATGAATATATGAGCTTAATTTAACATCTATGTTATTGAATGTTGTATATGTGCAACCAGCCATATTCCTAGCTCAGTTCTCATGTGTGTCATTTACTTTCATTCTAAAGAAAGCTCATCCCATAATCCCTATCTGCTTTCTAGTTGCTTCTGGTCACTAGTCATAGCCCATGAAAATTATGGACAATGATATTATTCTTTGTTATTACTGAAATGAGTGCAATACTGATAATAGTCCTAAGTGCAGTAGGATGAGTGTTGGCTCTGAAGTCATGTTCTTAAGCAATATTCAGCTATTCTTTAAAAACCAGACATAATTTATACTTTGCAAGATACATAATAGATGCTAAATAAATTTCAGTACTCTCCCTCCTTTTTCTTCAGAAAGAACCCTACATAATATTATTATATTTACCTTTACAACTAATTTGATTCTCCTCCAGGCAGCCTGGAGATCTTGGTTTGCCTGCTACTGATCTTATAAATACTGAATGTTATTATTATATTTTCCTTTTATTTGTATGTTAAGATTCAGTTCATTTTTCCTTCTAACTGACCAAAATAACTCAGTCAAGAAATCTTTTCTTCCATATCTAGTTTTATCAAATCCCTACATTTCTTGTATTTGCAAAACATTAAATATTCTTCTAGCATTAAAGACTCTGGGATATATAGTAGAGTCTTAAAGCAGAGACATAAAGCAGGTAGACAGATTAAAAAAAAGTCTAGAGCTCAGAAAAAAATTGAAGATTTATAGTTGGTAGTTTTAAATTTAGGTTAAATTATTCAGAGAATATGAAATTGCAGATGGAATTTAGTAAACAGCATTTAAAATGTAGAGGAATAGGAAGTCTAGGAAAGAGCCTGGGTAGAACTCTAGAGAGGAAAAAAAAAATCAGGAGAGTACATGGAATAAATAGAAACATAGCAAAACAGTTCAAGAAAGAGGAATGATCCACATTTTAAATTTTGCAAAGAAGTTATATAAGATGATTAATGAAATATATCCACTAGATTTGGTAAATCAAATCACTATTTAAGCAATTTTAGTGGAATAATGGGACCACAGTCCAGACTCTAGTGAAATAATCACAAATATGAAGAGGAAATTACAAATGTAGACTAATTYTCCATTAGCCTGTTGAGGGAGGAAAGGAGAGAGGATTTGATAGTTTCTGGGGAATGCAGATTAGAGAGACTGAGACTGTTTCATTAGTGTTTTTTTTTTTAAGAGAGAGAATTTTTTATTTTTATGTGGTGCTGAGGATCGAACCCAGCGCCCCGCGCATGCCAGGCGAGCGTGCTACCGCTTTAGCCACATCCCCAGCCCACATTAGTGTTTTTTTGAGAGAAATATGAATATGCTTATAAGAGGGAAAAAGTCTGTGAAAACCAAAAAACACATTGACTAGTTGTAATTTAATAAAAGCTGTTAGAATTCCCCCTACTTTATAAGTGAAATTGACTTAGAAGTGTTTCATGATTTTCCCTAAATCATATGGTTGCTTGTTTATTATTATGATTTATTCCTATTATTATTATGATTTATTTTATGATTTATAAAAGTAATACATAATTTAAAAAATTCAAACTTTATAGAAGTATATATAGTAGAAAGTAAGTCTTCTGAAATTTCAATGACAATTATTAGCAATTTGATACATGCTATACAAGTTTYTTCCCTTTGCACATGTTGTTTTGTAGCCTTTGAATCTTTTAATCTTTGAATTATCAACTGAATACAACTTTGTGTATTCAGTTGATAATTCAAAGATTCAAGTAAAGGTAAAAATAAACAAAGTGTATAAAGATGTTTACTTCCTCAACATCTGATATATGATTAGCTAAACTACACAGTCAAGAATTTTACTTGCAAACACCTTATCTATTTTTGTCCTTCCTTTTTAGAGTGGATGTAACTGAGGTTCAGGTAGCTTTAGTGATCGTCTTTTTGTTGACTACATTTGGAGGATCAACAATGTGGGACTACACGGTAAATCTAAATATTTAAATTGATGTTTAAGCACTTTTTAAATATGTAGGACAAAATAGTGTATTGTTAATCTCTTCAAATCTTTTCCAGGAATTAAACTCAGGGGCACTCAACTACTGAGCCACATTCCCATCCCCATTTTGTATTTTATTTAGAGATAGGATTTCACCGAGTTGCTTAGTGCCATGCTTTTGCTGAGGCTGGTTTTGAACTTGTAATCTTCCTGCCTCAGCTTCCCAAGCCATTGGGATTATAGTCATACACCTCCCTTTATTTTATAATGTTAATATCCTGTATACCTTATAATGGCATTTTCTTCTATGTGTAAATATTTTACTGCATAGAAGATAATGACCCTATTTGCCCTCTACCCCCCTCAAAAACAGAAATTAYCTTTTGAGGCCAAAATTTATATCATGAAATAAATATGCATTTAAAAGTCCTGTTAATTTTGTTTGAAATTTGTCCTTAAGTATTAAGGAAGGAAAATGGTTAATTTGCCTTTTTAAAATCCATTTTGAGATGAAAATTAAGGCATGATTTTGTTTTATGCCAGGTGGTGACCTCAGTTGGCTTTTAGGAGACCACTATTATAAACTCGAGCTTTGCATAAGAAGAAAATTTATGAAGAAACAAATTATTCTGTCACCCAACCCAAGTTCACAACACTAGCTGACTCACAACTTCATATGTATAGTGTTAAGAAGAATAATGTCAACGGTCAACAACTGATATTCCACACTGATTTTGTCCCAAAAACTGTGCTGTCAGTTTCATCTGCCCTTCAGAACAATCCTGGGAATAGATGTTATCATTATTCTGTTTTAGAAATGTCTTAAAATGATTAAGTCCTTTGTTCAAAGATACATGGGAAGTACTGAAGCTAGGACTTAAACAGACTCATTCCAGACGTAATGTTTGTAATCACTAAGCCACATATCTCCAGCAAAAACAGTGAGAGATACAAAACTAAATTACCATATGATCCAGCAGTCAAGCTCCTCCTGGGTATTTACTCAAAGGAGTTGAAAACTTATGTCGACACAAAAATGGCTAATTACAAAAATGGCTTTATTTTTAATTGTCAAAACTTGTTTGGTAAATTGGTAAGTAATGGGGTCCATTCAGATGATGGAATATTATTCAATGCCAAAAAGAAATGAACTATCACAACATAAAAAGACCTAGAGGATCCTTAAAAGCTTATTATTAAGATCAACAAGCTAATCTGAAAAGGCTGCATACTTTGATTTCAGAACATGACATTCTGAAAAAGGCAAAACTATGAACTCAGTAAAAATATGAGTGGTTTCCAGAAGTTGGGAGRAAGTAGGGATGAAAGGCGGAGAGCACAGGATTTTTAGGTTAGTGAAACTATTTTGAATGAGTGTTGGATTCATGTCATTATACATTTATCATAACACAAAAGAATGTACAACACCAAGATTGGAACCTAATGTAAACAATGAACTTTGTGTGATRATGTGTCAATGTAGGTTCATTGGTTGTAGCAAATGCCATGATGGGGGATATTGATGGTAGGGAAGGTTATGGGGTGGGAACAGGAGAAATGTGGGAATGCCCTATACTATACTCTCAATTTTGCTATGAACCTATAACTATTTTTTAAAAAATAAAATCTAGTAAAAACAGTAAAATATTTAATTCCCTGTAATACTCAGAATTGCTAATTACTGTTTCTAGTGGTAGGCTCAGAAAAAGATTTTCAGCATACTTTTAAGTGGTGATACATTCCCTGAGACATTCATATTCCTTCTCATTAGGTAAACATAAACAGTAGTATTGAGGATATGCTATCATAGGCCCATACAATATACTGGAGAGATGCTATATTTTATGGTAGCTATTCAGCTAGTTATAAGATGGTGAATGTGGACCAAGAAGCATTTGGGCAACTGCAGTCATTAAGTCAGATGTAATTCACTTGAATTTGGAACTGAAAAAATGTTTCTTCCATTGTTTTGACAAGGTCATAGGAATAAAATACACTTGCTTATTCTCACTAAGAATACTTATTTTTTATTTAGGTTTTCAAAATTTAATGGCTAACCTGTAGTTTCTGCAAATTTGGTACAATCTTTCAAAGTCTATTTTCAAAATACAATAGCCTATGGCCTTTGGCAATTCATTGTTACTGTTTTTAAATCCTTTGCTGCCTTTGGAATTTTTCTTGAACAGCAATTGACCAACAGGTAAATATATTGCTAGAGATTTGATCCTGGATATTCACTACACAAATGTTTTTGCATGCACACACATCATATCTATCACATTTAAGATGCATATCATGGTGTCTGCCTTTCAGGGGCTACTACATTTAAGTGAACTATCCTTTTTCGTGTTTAAGTCAGATGAAGGCTTGTTAAGTATTTAATCACAATTATAGAAATAGATTGAACTGATTTGGTGAATTCATTTTTGCTTAATGAATAAACCAATTTCAGAAGAAGTTACCATTTATATTCTAAAAGTTAAGTTTTGATTACAAGAAAAAGGATAGCTTATTATTCAGGACCTATCATAATGTTTCTTTACTAMCTAATAGGAAGAAAATTCTGTTTTCTTAATGATTTCTTTCTTTTCTTTACTCCTAAAGATACCCATTCTAGAAATAAAATTGAAGATCTTTCCAGTTCTTGGAATAGTTGGTGGAGCAATATTTTCCTGTTCAAATTATTTCCATGTTATCCTCCATGGTGGTGTTGGCAAGAATGGATCCACTATAGCAGTAAGGCCCTAATTTTTCATCATCACTATTGATTTATGATAACTTTTTTTTTCTCATCACCAGCTACCAAGAGACATGAAAATATGTCAAAGCTTGAGAATGGAGAAGGAAACTAAATATCTTAAAGAATTTATTGTAGAAACACAGCACAAAAACATTTTAAAAACTATGTAGACGTGGGGCTGGGGTTGTGGCTCAGTGTGAGGCACTGGGTTCGATCCTCAGCACCACATTAAAAAAAATAAACAAAACAAAGGTATTGTGTCCATCTACAACTAAAAAAAATTTTAAAAACTATGTATATTTATAATGAAGCATTTTTCCTCTTTCCACAGGCTTGCTTTGCATAGACTTTTCTGACTTCATTTAATTACTTTCATTATTGTACATAATCAAGAGTTTCCATTTATTTTCTTGCAATTTGTGCCTTGAACTAGTAGAGGAGAAGAGGAGTAGGGAATAAGTTCCTGATTGAATTGACAGGAAAGCTATCAAAGGTCAAAGGTTATACAGTGGGACAATTTATTACTCATAAATTTTATTGAAATGCCACTGAAAATACTTAAGAGACTTATCCTAATATTTTTAAAGGGAAAAAGTTTAATCTCAATTTTCAAGGAGGTATACCTTGTGTTTTATGTTCTTTACAGTTGCTCATGTGATAATTTTTTTATTTATTCATATAATTTTTAAAGTCTTTAATACTTTTTTGGGGTTTTTTTTGTTTGTTTCAGTATTGAGGATTGAACTGGGGGCACTTGCCCATTGAGCTATATCCCAAGCCTTTTTATCTTTTATTTTGAGACAGAGTATCACCAAGTTGCCCAGGCTGGCCTTGAACTTGTGATCTTCTTGCCTAAGCCTCCCAAGTTACTGGAATTACAGGCATGTACCACCATGCCCAACTTCACTACTTTTAAATTGGAAAGAGCATTCTTTCCAAGTTTTTTTTTTAAACAAACATGATAGCTAGGTGTATTAGTATTATCATCTTAAAAGTAGTTGAACGTAGGAAGATAAATGTTTATTCCAGTGATGCCATCTTACAATAAAACATTATAAGGACATTTTAGGGATTGCACATACCCTTTAATTCCTTTGGTTCTATAATTCAAAAATTCTATTCTTTTAGAGTGGATTTGATCTTTGGAAAACAGTAAAAGTTATTTTGGAAGGACTAATAAAATAGAGTAATAAACATGAGATATAGCATTTTTAGTTTTAAAAAAGTCTTATTCTTTTAAATGACTTATAAGTTGGCTCTTAAGACAATTTCAAAGGAGTCCCCATAATACAAAATCAACTTAATCAACTTTTTGAATATATATTTTGAATATATATATATTTCAAAAGCATATTACATAATTCATTTAGCTATGTAAGCTCTGACTTATTTGGGAAAAAAACCTCTCATTTCTTGAGGTGTTTTGTCAGTTGATGTTAGTGCAGTACTGTACAGAAGGTGCTTAGGAATAAATGTTGCTTGATGGATAATAAAATACAGCACTAGCTGGAACAAAAGTTCCACTGAAGAAAATAAGATTTGTGAGGATCAACATTCACTTTAGAGGATATTTTATTAAAAAATAATTATTAACTGTCTGGACAAGAACTTAAGAAGTCAACACAAGCTAGGAAGGTAGTTAATTTCAAATTCAGAAACTGGTGATTTTTCAGTTTCTGGCAGATTTTTTTTTCTGGAATAAAACCTAAGAACATTATATAAACAGATAAAATGCTATTAGTCAAAAGTTTTATAATTTATTACCATACAGTATTTTACATATGTAATTTTATAGTACTTATAGTGTTATTACTTTTATTTTATAGTGATTTCTATCTTAAAATATGTGAATTTAATAAATAAGCATAAGGCTATTTTAGTGAACATTTTTAAATTGGTAGTTATAGATTTAGTAACTTTAACACTAAATTTATTTCAGTATTTTGTTTAGGATAAGTAGTGCTGAGAGAATCCTGATATACATGRATAAAAATTTACTGGCCTGGATTATATCATTTTATATAAAAGGACATTTGCAGTCTGAATACAAAATAAAGGGGAGTGAGAAGGTGTTGATGTGAAGAGAAACCAGGGCAGAGTATTGTCAGTGAAATATTTTGTAGAATTGGCAGAATAAGCTTTTTTTCAGCATTGTCACAAAAATGTTGATAGTTGAAAGCAAATTATATAATTCATTTAGCTATGTAAGCTCTTTTTTTTTAGCATTGACACAAAAATGTTGACAGTTGAAGTACTGATGGTCTTTGACACAGTAAAAGTTGATACAGAATAAATAACAGTGTTAATTTTTAGGTAATTATTGGTTTATAATGCGCATATATAAAACTGGAATCAAATGTCTTTTGCACTGTTTCACATCTGTATAGTGCTAGGATTCTGTGGAAGTTTGAAGTCARCATACCTAAGGTGTGTATACTTCTTTAAGCCATACAACATCATAATCTCTTCTTTAAGTCTCTAGTTCTTTGCACATAATAGATGTTCAGAAAATGTTTGAATTGTAATAAATCCAGTGTTAAAATGTGACGCTGATTTTCTGCTTTATCCCTTAGGGCACGAGTGTCTTGTCACCTGGACTCCACATAGGACTAATTATTATACTGGCAATAATGATCTATAAAAAGTCAGCAACTAATGTTTTTGAAAAGCATCCTTGTCTGTATACCCTAATGTTTGGGTGTGTCTTTGCTAAAGTTGCACAAAAATTAGTGGTAAGAAGTTCTTTTATGATTCTTAGTGTAACGATTATACCTAGTTCACAAATGCAAAACTGGAAACTATTTCAAACAATGCATTAAGTTTTTCTTTGTAGACTCAGTATCATAGTAAGTAGCTGTTTGTGCTACAAGAAAAACTGCATTATGACTTAATATTATATTCAGTTCTTTGAATTATTTAGTTGTAATTATCTATTAAAACTTTCTGATATCAAGAAACTTAACTTTAATAAGCTACCTGGTTATGAATTTGAGAGGTGTAGATAAGGATTCCCATACTGAATATAAGACTAAATAATCTGTCTTAATAGTGAATTAAAACTAACTAATTTCTCCTGAAAATTAGAGCTAAAACATTTAAAATTTAATAGTAAAATTATTTTGTTTACTTTCTTGTAGATAGCTCACATGACCAAAAGTGAACTGTATCTTCAAGACACTGTCTTTGTTGGGCCAGGTCTTTTGTTTTTAGACCAGTACTTTAATAATTTTGTAGATGAATATGTTGTTCTATGGATAGCAATGGTAAGTACTTTTCTGCTATTTATTTTTTAACAGATGTCAAAGCACAACATGTTTAGGAGACATTTAACTATCAGTTGCCTCAATATTTAGTCTATAAAATGTTTCTGAATATGAAAATTACTTCTTTTAAGTTGTGAACCATTTTATATTGTATAGAAATAGCCAATGTATCCAAAGATCAAGCTTCTAACAATCCAGGTCCTTGGAAACACAATCATTTATTATATCTTTCCCCCTCTACCCCCACAAACTAGAACAGAAATGTCAAAAACCACTTCATTCTAACCAAAGGACTTTCTGACTTTCCTTAAGCTTATTAAAATTATTCCCAGCTTACAGCAAGTAACAAGCTAATTAGATGGGGTTAGTACTAGCAAGGATACTTAGCTGCATCAGAAATCGTCTACTAATATTGAGGAGACAACAATAGATGTCACTAGGAAGTTCAGGATTCTGAGACCATTTTATATTAAAGGTAGGCAACTCTGTGTATCTATATGGCCCTTGATGATAGTATAATTTGTTTTAATCATGATGATTGAATCATCAAGCAAGGATTAAATTCTAATGATATGCTGCTCAAGAAAGGCATGTAGATATATGTATTTTTCTACTCAAAAATTATTATAAAATGCAGAATATGGTGTTTTAGAAAGACACTTTAGCCATCCAAGGAAAAGAAAGTCATTCCGAGTAACAATCACAAAATTGGATAAAAGGAACATTACATTTTTCTGTTCTTGAGATATATGTTTACAGTTGGTCTTCAACTAATAGTGGTTTTGAATAGTCAATAGTCTTGATATATTTTTTCCTATTTCTGGATCTCACCAGCCTTTACCAAATTGTTCATGATATATAAACATATTGATATGTATTTTTTAAAAGTTCTAAATAAATCTTTTGATAATTCAAATGATCTCTCCTGTTGTTAAATTTAGGCATTTAAAAAAATCTGTTTTCTGTTGTGTATAGGCCACTGATATACWTTTGATGAAACTTCCCTAGGTTATATAGTATTATACTTTATCTGGATTAAATTAACAATATTCATGCATAGTTCATTTAGAAGTTTTTTATTGTCCCAGGGGTGAGATATAATACCTAATCCTCTTGGGCAATGAAAATTTGCAGTCAATATACTAAAAAGTGGGGCTGGGGTTGTGGCTCAGCAGTAGATCACTGGCCTAGCACATGCAAGGCCCTGGATTTGATCCTAGCACCACATAAAAATAAGTAAAAAAATAAAAGGTATTATATATATATATGTATATATATAAGTGTCTGAAAAAAGGTATTTATATATATATAAAGTGTCAGAAAATCAGAGTACTTTCCTTTAATTTTTTTGATGTACTTGGATATGTATTATAAAATGGAATTAACAAAATTAAAATATCAGGTGTTAAAAATTCAAGCACCTGTTTTGTAATGAATAGTTGGCCTGATTTATACCAGTGATGGAGGCTGGTAAACTGAGGAAGTCAAATTCAACTTTTCTTTAAAACATTATACAGAAGAGGGCTGGAGATATAGCTCAGATGATAAGAGTGCTTGCCTTGCATGCATAAGGCCCTGGGTTCTATCCCCAGCACCACAAAAAAAAAAAAAAAAAGAAAGAAAAAAAAGAAAACATTACACAGAAGATAATACACACATACACAACGGGTGCCGAACAAAGTATGTGTTTTGTGGCATCCCTGAGGAAAAGCTTCCTGCCTCAGATAGAAAAGGATCTGATGGAGCTTTTCAAGTAAATGACAGAGATATTTTCTCATGGGTGATAATCCCTCTCCAAAGGCACAGCTATGAGGCTTCTTCTTCTCCTAGGCTTCATTGTTTGAAGGAAAGCTTTTGACTAATCTCCAGGAAAATCTTTGGAAACCTTCCTCTTTCCATTTTGAATAGAAGACAATTTTGTATATGCCTCCCCTCAACAGGGTGTCTTTMCCAGATCTTTTTATATTCCTTTTTTATAGACTATATTACTGATAATACCTTTGGAGGTGGATACCAGTGATTGCATTCAGGGGCACTCACCTTGGGAGCCACATCTCCAGCCCTATTTTGTAYTTTACTTAGAGTCAGGGTCGCATTCAATTGCTTGCCTCGCCCTTACTGAGGCTCGCTTTGAACTCGAAATCCTGTCAGCCTTTCCAGCTGTTGGGATTATAGGCATGTGCCACCATGCTTGCCCAGATCTTTTATGTTCTTATAACTAGCCTTAAAGGAATAAAATATGTATCTGAATAGTTCATTACAATGACTGGCAGCCCCTTCTAGAAAATGTGTGGCCTTATTGCATAGCAAAAAGTTGAAAGAATGTGGAGTCAGAAGACTTGGCTTCTGTTACTTTTGAGCTTTTATACTTTGGTCCTCTTACCCTTCTTACCCTCAGCTTCTATAATTGAAATACCTTGTATATTCCAGAAGAGTATAATAATAAGGTCCAAATATGAAATATGCTAAACTACTCTAAAAAGTAATAAAAAGTAATATTTTCAGAGTTAAGAATTTTATGTTAAGAATATTTGAGATTGGGTGGGAAGGGACAGAAAAATGTCTGTAAATTCAGAAAACATAGGCCATAATCCATTTTATATTTTCTTTTTTGCTTCCAAAGGTCATTTCTTCATTTGATATGATGATATACTTTGGTGCTTTGTGCCTTCAAATTTCAAGACACCTTCATCTACATATCTTCAAGATTTCATATCATCAAGCACCTGAACAGGTTCACAAGCATATTGACTGACTAAATAGCCCAAGGAAAAGAGGAGAAGCAGTTAGGGGAAACCTATGTGTGAAGGAAATCCCCCTGTGCAGGAGGCTAGTATACTATCCAATAAGGTTATATTTGAATATAATAGATAAATCCTATAGATTTCATTATAATGATTTCAGTAATGAAGTCCTCATTATGTCTCATCAACATTTTTGATCAAAGGTATTATCAGTAATGTAGTCTGTAAATTAGAAACAAGACCAAAGAATGAAAAACTGAACATAGGTAGTTCTAAACAGCAATCTCTTTGTGTCTACAAAATATTTATCGGACACTTGGGATTTTCATTGCCAAAGAATTACATAAAAATTCAGAACTTAAACTTTAGCCATCGTGAACATAATGGCCTTCTTTGCTAAAAACTGATAACTCATAATTGTAAATGCATGGCTTATAATAGTGTAACTGAGTTTGATATTATAAAAAAATTTATGCTAGCYATTTTTCAAAAACTATGTTAATTACTGCTATAAAAGGAAAAGTACCAACTAGAATTTAAAAGGGCCATGGGAATTAATAATCTGTATTTAGTAAAAGATTTTGTGGTACTAGTTCAGAAAAACATGTGAATCCTTATATTGAGGGTAACTTGTTCTTGATATTATGGGTTAAAATTTCATTGCCATGAAAAAGACATTAAACATTCCCTTTTATGAAAGACAAAAAACAGCAACTAAAACAGCTGATATGTAAGAAAATTAGTAATTTATAAAAACATGGCAAAAACATCCTTCTATAGAATATTAGCCAGTTACTTCAAGTACACATAACTCATTTAAGGTAATAAGGGGACAAAATAAGTATCAGTTATTCAACCAYTCTGGGCTCTGATTCTTCTCTTTCTATTCTTAGTTGAAAAGATTTAGATTGCTTTTATAAATACTAGAAATATCACCAAGATCTTTGATGATCCAAATCTTCAGACTCCCATTTGACCCTATTTCTAATTTTATAGAGTTACATAGGCCATATTGCTGTATGACGAAATAATCAGAAAAAAATAACAAAGAAACAAACATTTTAAAAATGATCAGTGGAAATTTATATTCCCTAAAATATACTTCTATGAATTAAGTACATAGAAAACATTCTGTAGATACTTATTTTGCCTCCATAACTATTGGTAGAACTTCTCAAATAAAGACCTTCTTAGAAGTTTGAATAGTACTTAATATTTATATTCTAGGTTAAGGTATCACTCAGTGGAAGAATGCATGCTTAGCATGGGTGGGGTCCTGGGTTCAGTCCCCAGCACCACACACTCAAAAATTTGGAAGTAAACTGTCCTCTTATTGTYGAATATTTCCTAATGGTGGGAGCATTAATTTCTTTGTATAAATTATCATAGTTAAAAAAACACGATAATTTGTATAGACTTGCTTTTAAAAACCTGAAAGACCTTAGAAGTAACATAAGGATGGGTTATAGAGGCAAAAGTTAGAATTTAAAATGGAAAAGCATGAGAAAGTCATTCCTTTACTTCTAATGGACATATCATTTTTGCCTGGATTGTTCACTGGAAGTATTTTCAGCAAGGAAAAAAAAAAGAGTTTTAACTGACTTATTTCAAACAAATGTTGAAACAATTTAATATTTATTAAATCAAGCATTTCAGCCAGGCCACTATGGCATAAGCCTGTAATCCCAGAAATTCAGGAGGCTGAGGCAGGAGAACCATGAGTTCCAGGATAGCCCCTGCAACTTAGGGAGACCCTGTCTCAAAATAAGCATTTAAAAATGGTCTGGGGAGTGCCTTTGGGTTCAATCCTCTGTACAAAAACAAACAAACCAAAAAACCCACAGATGTTCCTTAAGTTTTTCTATTTAAAGAATGTGTATTTTAAAAGACAAGGTATAAAAAATAACTTGTTCAGGTTTGAAATGAATGTAAAATCAATTCCACATTTTTATTGATATTAAAACTAAAAAGATATACTGGGTAAAATTATCTTTGAAGTCATAATATACTTAATTAGTTATGTTAATGAAATACTTTTAATTATTACTAAGAAAATGTGTCAATTGTGGACCAATCCCAATTACCTGATATTTTGATGTCTTCGTGGAAATGACACACTCACAAATGCAGGTTTTAAAAATCTTAAAACCTGGGGTTGGGGTTGTGGCTCAGGGGTAGAGTGCTCGCCTAGCACATGTGAGGCCCTGGGTTCGATCCTCAGCACCACATAAGAAATAAAATAAAGATATTGTGTCCATCCACAACTAAAAAATAAATATTAAAAAAAATATATAAAAATAAAAATCTTAAAACCTAATATTTATAGGCTGGGTTGGGTGGCACATGCCTGTAATCCCAGCGGCTCTGGAGGCTGAGGCAAGAGGGTGTGAGTTCAAAGCCAGCCTCAGCAACAGCAAGGTGCTAAGCAACTGAGACCCTGTTTCTAAATAAAATACAAAAAAGGGCTGTATATGTGGCTCAGTGGTCTAGTTCCCAAGTTCAATTCCCAGTGCCCCCCCACTTGCAAAAAAAAAACACCTAATATTTATAAATCTTGCTCAGTTATATTAATGATTTTAGCAGTTTAATTTATTCTAGGTCACAAATTTAAATTCTTTTAATATACTTTATATGCCAATAGAATAGATTTCTCTTGAAATCTTATTTTCATTAGAATTGGCTATGTAATAGTATATAGAAAAGAATGTATATGTAAAACAGATTTTGTGGTTTTTTTCTTAAGAACAATGTAAGCCACATGTGGTAGCATAGGCCTGTATTCCCAGCTAATTCAGGTAAGGGGGAAGGAACACATGAACCTAGGAGTTTGAGACAAGCTTGGTAACAGAGCAAGACCTCAAAAAAAAAAAAAAAAAAGGAATAAAGAACAATGTAATCTTTATACTTGTACTTTGTACATTTGTGACTAACAAATACACTGAAGCCTAAATCTAAATTCAGTATCTTTATTAATACTAATAAAAGTGATAGTGTTAGAAAAATTCACAATTACAACTTCAGAGCTGAAAGCTTGATACATATAATTTAGGAATATCTGGTACTTCACATAACTGTTGCAATTTTTTTGGAAGTTTACAGGAAGGGAGGACTTGCACTTAAATAAGCTACTGATTAAACTTGTTTTAATTTAAACTTGAATTTCTGAACTACTCTAAAGACTTACATGACTTTTAGCTAATGTTATAATTGTATCATATTACTTAGGTTCAAGTTCTTTCTTCAAAGAGTCATCAGAATAACATGGACTGAAGAGACTTTCGAACACTTGCCATCTCTTGCTGCTGCTGTTTCATGAAAGGAGATATTAAACATTTGTTTAATTTTTAGTTAAGTGTTATACAATTTCAGCAAATAAAATATTTCAGTGCTTACACCAACCCTTATTTTTTCAATTTGAAATATAGTGACTTACAGTTTCCATCATAATTTTTTTTTGCAACATAGCCATTTCTTTTTTAAGTTCACTTTGTGTACCAGTAAGTAGATTATCATGATTCTTCTCCAAGTCCTCCAAGCTCTAAAACACAAAAGGTTACTTCAGTTTTAGACCATAACTTTTTACCTCAATTTCTAAACTTGGAAAATTGTCAAAAAAGTTTCAATATTCAGATGTTAATTATATTTATTCCAACTAAAAATACATTCTAAGTAATACATGAAGACCAAAATTCCTAGTATGAAAAAGTAAAATAAATCAGATATGAATCAAATACAATTTCAGAAGATACAATAGTAGTATACTTTACAGGAAATAATGGGTTAAAGAACTATTAATGTAAAAGTGGAGAAAAAAAAGGAAAGGTACCATCAGTAGAATACCATAATTTTGAAAATTTCGAATAAGTTTCTCAAACATCAGGTTATAACCTACTAATTATGACCAATAGTCAATGTGACATGAACTCACTAGAGAGAAAAAAATGATCTATAGTATGAACTCTTTATCTTAAAGTTATGAAAAACAACTTATATTTTAACTTTTTACTATTTACTCAACAGTTATCCTAGTGCCTACTATGTTAAAAGTACTATGTTAAGTGCTGTGGAGAAATTTAAAAATAAATAATTCATGGTTGCTTCATTATTCCAAAGAGAAGAAACATATAAACAAAAATAACACAAAAGCTTTATAACAGGAATGGAAATGTAGCTTACTCAGGCTATATCAAAGAAAATGGGGATTGAATCCAATTTATTTGGCAAAAAAGTAAAATTTCAATAAATAAAGGAGTCGAAAGTATTCTAGGGGGAGAATATAAGCAAAAGCATGAGTGAGTGGGTTCAGAGAAAGCAATTATGTAGAGGGGTAGAAGTAATAAACTACATGAAACTTAAAAAAAGTCATGACAGGGATCTCAAAGACCTAAGAATGTAGAATGGGAATGTAGATTTTTCAGGAGGAAAGAGATTTTTTTTTTTTTTTTTTAGAAAAATAACATGGAAGACTTATGAAGGATGGCCTGGAGAACAGAGAAATCAGTTAAGAGTTTTAATGGTAAAAACAAAAAGTGATAAGGCCCCGAACTAAAGTAATAACAGTGGGAATTAAAAGAAAGAACCACTGATGAAGAAAAATTACAAGATCCTAGTTATAAATGAATGTGAAAGATAAAGGAGGTGGAGGAGTCAAAGTATACTGAAGTTCCTATCCTAGGTAGTAATGTTTAATTATAATATTTAGAAAAAAATATTTTCTAGTTTTATCAAACCTTCATACCAATTAACAAATTTTATTCTCAGGGAGCATTAGAGAAAGCAAGTTCTCTACATGAAAATGCTTTTAATTTTAAAAGTAACTTTTGCATTTTTAAAACTATTTTACTATTTAGATCACAACTTGCACAATTATCAGTAAATAATTTCAATCCACAGATTTTTACTCTTAAGCTATCTTGCCTATCTCTTAAAAGTTGGAATATAAAGTCATTTTTGATTACTGCAATAAATTCTAAAAGCAAATATGCCATACTTATACGTATATCTGAAAATAAATATTAATTTCAATTGGATCTTTTCTATTTAATAAAGACTATGTAGAAACAGTTAAACAGAGAATAATGACTTAAATGTTAATTTTGTGGATTTGATACATAAGTATATTTCCAGGTAAAATTCCCAATTTACCATTTCTGTCTTGAATAATCACCATAAAAAAGAATCCTAAAGATATATATTGTCACTTGTCAGAAATGAGTTCAAAATGAAAAGGTAAAAATTTTAAATGCATTAGCAAAATACTTTTCCCCGTAAGTTTGGAAACAAAAGAATTATTTTCTATTTCCATAAGTATATTGTTTTTTTAAGACTGTATTGTTACAAAATGTACAACATTTACCTTTACGAACTGCTCATATAGTTGTCTAATTGTTTTCAGTCTCTGATTCTGAACAATTCTAGATTGTTGAAAAACCTTTTGTTGTTGTCGAAACATATTCTATAATCATAAAAAGAAAAAACTGTGGTAATAACAATTTGGTAAATTGTTTTGTTTGTTTTCAGTGCTGGGGATCAAACCTAGGGCTTCACACAAGTTAGACATTTTACCTCTGAGATATATCCCCAGCCCTGAAGTTTTAAACTTAGCAAAAAATAATTCCATATTGCACTTGAAAAGAATAGTTCATAAGTTGGTAGTTTTAAGTTTTTGTTTCAATAACTATTATGACAGAGTTTAGATAATTTGTGTTTATTGCTAATATGGAATAATTATAATAATCCTACCAGTCAATGAGTAGGAAATCTTAATGCTCAAGACATGTATTATTCTAGGTAATTTCAATGTCCACATGGATGATCTTCTATAATGGTGGTCTTTCAGTTCCTTAACCTATCCTCCACCAATGATTTTTGTCTTCCCTATTTTAGCCATTCACTTACATACTTATACACTAGATTTTGCCTTTATCAATGATAGGACCTTTCTATAGTATTGATAATGGCAAACAAAATATATATTAACTTTGTGTCAGACTTATAAGTTCAAACTTATGTGAACTCATTTAATCTTGTGAGATAGATAGGTACTCATGAGTCACTTCTAGAGTTGAGGAAACTAAGAATTAAAGTTAAATAATTTGTCCATAGTTTCACAGGTACCAATTGCTCAAACCAGGATTTGATCTCAAACTGTATTTTTCCAGAGTCCAGGTACACTGCATATGCATAACTGTTTCTCCACACATCCCAGTATTTGATCACCACCTCAACATTCAAGCTTACTCTCTTTAGTAATACAGTTCAATAATATATCAGGAAACTAAATCCATTAATTCTACCTATTTTCACTGTCATTCCTATTCCTGTTGTCCTAACTTTCCTCTTTCCCAGCTTAAATTATATGGACAATTATTATAATTACYCCTTTACATATACACCTTGCCCCTTTCTGACTCTTTGTCACACTTAATTGGTTAAACCTCAACCCTGAAAAATTCAACTCTCTAGCTACTCTATCTAGAAGCAAGACTTTCACCATCTGATTATCTTATTCAAGAAATAAAAGAAATCTAAAGAGAACTTTATCAGTTTCCCATTACAATATCGACTGTTCACCTACATTAATTTATGCTCAAGATACTCTGCATTCCCTTTTGTTTCAAAGGATGAACTATCCTTGTGCGTAAGGCCAACTTCTTCACATGTCCCACCCATTCTMAAGAATTCAGCAAATGCTTCCCTCTTTCTGTTATTTTAAATTTGTCCCTCTAAATTATTCCTGTCAATACACAGACATGTTGCCACTTCTCTTAAAAACAAAAAGAACAACAACAACAAAAAAAAAAAACCTATTTTTCTCCTCAGGTCATCTTATTTCTTTGCCATTCTGTCTTGTACTCATTTTAATCAGATTTTTGCCCTCACTTTTCTACCAAAATCATTCTGATCCAGGACTTCAATGGTCCTCCACATTGCCAAATCCACCCTATTTGGCCTGTAAGCAGCATGTAACAAAAGTAATCCTGTTTCCTTCTTAAAAAGCTTGCTTTATTTGGTGTAGAGTGGTTTACACATTAGATATTAGCTCAAACATAATGGAGTTTCCTTTGCGGGTTCTCCCTTACTTCCAGAACACTAAACATTCAAGTAAAATTTATAATTTACAATCATGACTTTATCTCATCCAGTTTTCATGGCTTAAAAACTGTCTTTAAACTAATACTCAACTTTGTTTCTTTAGCCTCTCTCTCCTGAACTCCAGAGTAATATACCAGTGACCTATTCAACCTCTCCTTAGACATTTCATGTGCATTTCAAATTTAACATTTCCAAAACTGAGTTAACCAGCTCCCAAGTCAATACCTTAGCTCTTAAGGAATGTTTGATAATTACAAACAATGAAAGGATAAGTTGAAAGAACAATTAATGCAAAGTATTTGAGCAGGGCTGACTTCTATCTCCCATAACACATTAAGAGTCAACTATGTTCTGGGTAGGGGCTATAGCTCAGTGACAGAATGCTTTGCCTTGCATGTACTGACCAAGGGTTCAATCTCCAGCATCTCATATTAAAAAGAGAAAAAAAAAATTAAGAGTAAACTATATTCTGACTATAGTGATTAGCTCTGGAATGAACTACTAAATCAGGATATTCCTCCAGAACTTTCTGCCAGAGCTAGCGAGAAAGATTATCTCAATCCACTGCAGTTATGAAATTATYTTAAAAATTTGTAGTAAGTCTAGAATTGAACAACAACAACAACAACAAAAATCTATCAAGATGAACCCACTAAGGTTTGGCAATAGTCCCAAGTTGCACTACATAAGCAACCCTTTCCTATCCCCATCAGGTATGCCTGAATCTAAACTACACTGATTTTCATTTATATTATCCAATAATCCTTCTTTTGTCCTTTAACAAATTTTTGTCACTGGAAAATCAAGAATTCCAACCAATGTAAGATGGCTAACAGCTTTTATGAGTATAATATATTCCTATTCTGTGGTCTGCAGTTCAGCATCTTTAAAAAAAAAAAAAAAGCCAATAATGAGAAATGGAATCTGGTTTAGTTCCATGGGCTTAATACAAAGCTAGATTCTCTACTAATACTTGAGACTTGGTTATAATAAATTAACTGAAAAGCTAATAATGATACCAACAGCTAGTTTTTCTTCTTGTTCCTCAGCTTTCTGCAAATCTATATCCCACTGCTGAAACAGATTCATAAATTGCTGAGAATATTCTTGGTTAAGCTTCTGTCTGTAAAACATAATAATGAATGTTTTCACACTTCATGCCAATAGGAAAAAAAAACATGCAAGACAATATTGAGTTGGTGTATTTTTATACTACATAAAAAAAGAAGGAAATCAAAGCAACTTAAATATTCTGATAGGAATCCAAAAAGTAAAATTAGATTCATACTGATTCCAGAATTTTTTCCCTAATAAGCTAAAACAAAGTCCTCTCACATGCTTTAGCTATTGAAAATTTTATCATTTATATAAATTTTCCAGAAAAATTTATTTGCTCTCCAAAGAGTTTATTTTTCATTTTCCCCTACTGAATGTACATTTTGATATGTTAAACAGATTAAAACATTTCTAAATAGAAATATGTCCTTTGACTTTTTTCTCCATTTTGGCACAGGAAAGATTTTGTACAAAGGATTAGTTAAATCAGTGAAAATATAAAAAATATTTACAATATAAAATTGACCTCTTCTTACATTGTCAAACATAGTTAACTATAAGATGACTAATAATTTCTATGATATTTACCTTTTACTTAACTAGTATATTTCTGGAGTGAATGTGCATTATTTTTATAATTTAAAAACCTCATTTGTTATCTGGAAAGAGAAAAAAGTAATTTACACCCGACATAACTTTCCTGTGTTCATGTACGAATACATGACCAGTGTAATTCCACATCATATACACCCATAATAATGGGAAGTTATATTCCATGTATGTAAAACATATCAAAATACACCCTTATTATTGTATATCTAAAAAATAGCAACAAAAAATGTAATGTTCACTCACTGCTAAGAAGCAGTTATCAATTCTATGAAGGCATGAGGTTACAGGACTACTTACTTAGAGGAAAAATCAAGCCAAATATATTTTCACTAAACTTTCCAAAAAATAGAAGATCATAATACTACTTTTCATAAGTGACTGGTACAATATATACTAAGTGATACCAATRTGACCTTAAAAACCCAGCAACCTTACCTTTGCTCCTGCTGTGTTTTCCAAACATGTTCAATTTTCTGGTTACTGGTTTTGAAAGAAGCCTTGGTATACATTTCTAATCTTTTTCTCTTGGCAAGAAGAGCTTTGTTAATGTCAGCTATATTGAAAGAAACATTCATTAAAACTGAATATTGGAGAAAATTATTTTGTTCCCACATATCCAAGTAAATATAATTATGGGTAAAGYTCATTAAAATATTAAAGAGACATTTAAAATCAAATTTAAAATACCAATATAATATACAAAAAGTTTTATATTTTTGAGCATTCAGGATTTTAGATTTCAGACTAGTAAGACTGTGCAAATATTTCAAAATCCAAAAAACTCTGAAATCTGAAACATTTCTGGTCCCAGGCATTTTGGATAAAGGATTCCCCAGCCTCATCCCAATTCTGATTTTCCTAAGTGAAAATAATTTTTAAATTTAGGGGTGATAGAAAAAAAAGAGCTAATAAAACAAAGGACAGGATAGACTTCAATTTCCTCACGAGAAAATATTTTAACAAAAGCTAAAAAAGGACACACTTGGCTGAATCCTTATTAGAACTCATTATATAAAACACATGAAAATAATCTATTATAAACCTAATTTTAAAAAGCCTAATTAAAAAAGGATACCAAATAAGAAAATTATGTTAAAAATATAGTTAATGACACTATTAAGTATATTTTTTATTAAAAGAAACAAAGACCAAAGATAGAAAAAAATCTTAGTTTAATAGATGAATTCATTTAAGAATACTTTATTTTTTTTAAGAGAGAGTGAGAGATGGGGGGGGAGAAAGAGAGAGAGAGAGAATTTTAATATTTTTTAGTTTTCGATGGACACAACATCTTTGTTTGTATGTGGTGCTGAGGATCGACCCCGGGCCGCACGCATGCCAGGCGAGCGCGCTACCGCTTGAGCCACATCCCCAGCCCCAAGAATACTTTAAATAAATGCTTTCATGGAGCTTTCTTGTAGACATTTTACCACTAAGCACTGCAATTCATAATATTTTAATACTTCAAATAATACTATGGATCTACCACAAATAGTTATCACTCAATAATCATGATGGCGCTGTACTACATATAAATATTTTATAATTTTAGCATCCCAAATTATACATTTGTAAAACAGTGAACTGTCACCGAACAAAACACATATTAAAGAAAAATATTTGATTGTATGAATAATCCTTCTGAGAAGCCAAATATTGACTCATTTTAAAGAGTATTTTCCCTTAAATTTCCCTGTAATTGATATTTAACATAAAAAMACTTAAAAATTTTGGACCTGATTATAAATGTCTTAATGGCTAGCAAAATTGTTTTTCATTTTCAACTGCAGTTTATTAATGTAAAAATAACAATAGTTATTTTAGAGCCTTCAATTTATAATCCTCCCAAAAGAAAGGAACACARGAAGAGTTCTAAAATATAGAGTAAATGAAAAACTGATGTACATACAGATATATAGATATGTACTATGTACACGAGTTACTCAATCTTAAATTACAAAGAAGTATATACTTTTCCCATTCTTTCCCCCGCCTAAAATTCCATTAAAGCTACACATGTCTAAAAGCATCATTCTCACATGGTGAAAAGGGTTAAGTAAGGAAATTAATGAAACTAAATCACACTTGGTTATGCAAAATCCCAAATGTGAGCAAAGAAATAATAGTTGCGTAGGTCACTGATTAACATTTTCTGTTATATAAATTACTATGTGGTTTTCAATAATTTCTTTAAATGAAAATCTCCAAAAACATACCTCCAAATTTTTCCAGCATGTTCTGTACTTCACCCCTGTAAAGAAATTACACTTAAAAAACTTTTAGAGATGGGGAATGTAACTCAGTGTCAGAGCATTTTTGACTAGCATGTGCAAGTGCCTAAGTTCAACCCCAGCAGGAAAAAAAAAAATAAACTTTTAATTAAAGATCCATAAAATATCATACTTATTTTGGAAGAAATATCACAGCCAAGTATTTTACATACAATACTTGTTAGACAACCAAAGCCAATTTTTCTTATTTTGAATATGTTACCCCATATCTTCAACTATTCCTGCAGAAGGCCTTTTCTTCCCATGCTTATCAATTGCTGGGGTCTTTCCTGTATTGACAAAAAATGAAAACATTTTTTATATTAAGTATGCTACTTTGGTAAATTTTAACGACATAATTTTCATTTGTGAGTCTTTTAAGCATTTTGCCACTATAATTTTAAAAGTAGATATATAAACAGTACTTTCTCTGCAGGTTGGGTAAAATTAAATCAAGTTTCAGAACTATTTTATAGGACCAATCTTTCAAGTCTTCCTGGGGTAAGGTCATACATAGTAAGCAGTGTACTATTCATGGAGAAGTYGGGAATAATGATGGCAAAGGCAAGTCTGATACAGGAGTATTAGGATTCAAAGGAGAAACAAAGCACATGAAAATGCTTAACAAAATTTTATTTTAAATAAAGTAGATTCAAAACAAATGAACCACAGGACATCATAACTGTCCAGCTTTAGGTATACAGTACCTTCAGCAACATCCTCCTCTGAACCACTCAGATCTTTATCTTCTTTCTCAAAGTCAAAGACTCTTACAAGCTGATCCTCCACTGATTGTTTCCCAGATTTCCCAGAATGCTTTCTTACAGAAGGTACCATGTTTCGATCAGATGTCTTCAGACTTAAAAAAAAAAAAAAAGACAAGTCTCTCAAACTGATTCCAAAAGCATCATTTAAACCAACTGATAAAATTTTAAATGTTACCCATTTCGTTGGTCCAAAAGTTAACCTATTGACATTTGTTGGTTAAAAAGGAAAAACAAAGTGGGGCACAGTAGTGCACACCTGTAATCCCTGAGGCTTGGGAAGTTAAGACAGGAGGATCGCAAGATAAAGCCAGCCTCAGCAATGGCGAGGTGCTAAGCAACTCAGTGAGCCTCTGTCACTAAATAAAATGCAAAATAGGGCTGGGGATGTGGCTCAGTGGTCTAGTGCCCCTGAGTTCCAATCCCTGGTACCAAAAAGGATCAAGAACATAATGACTCCAAAAGTGCTGTGCCCATGAGGATTTCGAGATCTGAATTTGAGTCCCACCTCTGCCAGATTCTTGCTAAATTTGGGCAAATCTATTCCACATCTCAGTCTCAAAGTGGAATCGCGGTTGCTGGCAAAACAGATCATGCCAGACTTAAATTCATGGCAACACTCATCTCCCTGAGGAGTTCCACGGGACTGGAGCTGAGGGTATCGCTCAGCGCTGGAGCGCTCGCCCCGGGTTCCAACCCCAGTCCAGCAAAAAAACAAAAAAAAACACCAAGCAAACAGAAAGGCCGGGCACGGTGGCGCACACCTGTAATYCGAGCAGCTCACACCTGTAATCCGAGCGGCTCGGGAGGCTGAGGCAGGAGGAGCGCGAGTTCACACCCAGCCTCAGCAATGGCGAGGCACTAAGCAACTCCGTGAGACCCTGTCTCTAAATAAATACAGAACAGGGCTGGGGATGTGCTCAGAGGCCGTGCCCCTGAGTTCAATCCCCRGACCCCCCACCCACCCACCCACCCACCACCAAAAAAAAGTCCAAGCGGGCCTAGGAAAATTCTATGATGCGGACATACATGTATGTTGTAGAGGTTTCCTAAAATGAAAATGAAGGAGTCCCCAGTTCCCTGCCCTGGTTTTTAACGGATTTGGGGCCCGCAGGAGCGAGAAGGCGGAGGCAGGCCCCAGCCGCGCTCCCCAAAAACCCGGCCCCAGACGCGGCTCCGCCACCTGCCCTCCACCCACCCRCGCCTGCCCCAGGCTCTGCCCTCGGTGGGACCCCGGCCCCATCTTCCCGTCGGAGGCCCCAGGTAACGCCAATGGGGATTCACCTCAAAAGCAAGAGTAGTCTCGGCCCGCAGGAACCCCCAAGCCGACAAATCCCACCCCTCCTTACACCTCAATAAAACCTCAGTGGCCCCATCCCGTTACTAGACTCCCAACGCTCCGGCCTCCCCTATCCTGGCTCCTCACCTGAGAACTCAGCTGCTTCGTCGTCCTCGCCTCCAGAAAACCTTTCTGAGGCAATTTGCTATTCGAGCGGGAGAAAAACCAGTCTCGCCTCAGCCAAGCGCCTGGCTGATTGGCTGAACGCCGGGCGCATGCGTGCTCGGAGACGAGCCCCCCCCCCCACGGGGCGATCGCTCTCGGGCACGTTCGCCACGCCCACGTTTTAGCCCGCGCTTGAGGCTTGGCGCCTTCCAGTTTCTACATTTTAAATTTATATAATCTCAAAAAATGTGAAGAGACAGTGCGAACTATGAAACAAATGAACACATTACCTACTTTGTGAAGTACACCTTCACCGAATTGGATTCACGGATTCTCCTCAGGAAAGCCTATCCGCCTCAGCCCGCCCCTTTCTCTCACGCCCCTTTCCCGCGGTTTCTGAGAGGTGCGAAAGTTACCCGCGGGGCGTGCTGAACGTTCAACTCCTCCCRTTTGCTAACTTTTGTTACCAAACGTACCTGCCCTTGAACCACGGGGCTGAGTTTCGTTTGCGCAGAGCAGAAACAAAAACAAAACCCCACTATTCCACGATTTTTCCATGGATTTTCTTGTCAGTATACATCTGAGTTAGTTCCAAAGCCGATGGAACATTCTGATTTCTTTTTTTTTTTTAGAAATATTTCAACATAAGGACAACTTTATTAAKTTTTTTATTTTATTAACATAAAAATGTGAACTGCTTCATGAATCCGTGTGGTCCAAGTTCATGACCTTCGCTGTGGAGGGGAGCGCCGGGCTGAACTGTTTACAGAGTATCTCTGAGTGGGGTCGCCGTCGCGCCTGGTGATACAGAGTGACCCTCAATTGTGTCCAATTGTATTGCAACCAACAAAATGTATCCCTGTCARACGTACTCCTCTTTACTCGCATTGTCGGATTTCTTTACTCTTTTTTTTTTGTGCCATTTTTGCCATTCTAGTGGATATAAAATGATATTTGTTTCGGGTCTTTTTATACTTTTCTAATCACTCATGAGATTAAGCTCCTCTAATGCCCAGTAGGCATCTCCCTGTCTCCTGAAAATGTTGACTTGGGTTTCTTGCCCATTTTTCAACTGGATATTAATTTGTTTCTTACTGGTTTGTAGGTCTTTATGCTGAGTATTAATCTCCACAATTTTTTTTTTGTTGTTGTTGTTGTTTTTAATTTTTATTTTGTAGTTGTAGATGGACACAGAACCTTTATTTTATTTATTTATTGTTATGTGGTGCTGAGGATTGAACCCAGTGCTTCAAGCGTGCTAAGCAAGTGCAGGGAGGAACAAATCCAGCGCTCCTTTTTTGGTATCTTTTAAAAGAAATTTATTGTTTCCCTGAAGTTATAAAAATATTCCACTATATTTTCAGTAAAATTTTAAGATTTTTTTTTCATGGCTTCGTTCATCTAGAATTAATCTTTGTGTCTTTTGTCAGGGATCAAATTACTTTTTTTTCCCTTCACATAGAAACTACTGTCCCATCATCATTTATTGATGGTCTTTTTTTTTTTACTTATAATAATTGTAGATATTTATGGGGCATAGTGTGATAGTTCAATACATATACATGTGATCATCAAATCAAGGTAATGTCCAGGAGCCTGTTTTGTTAGCCTGTTTTTCTGGCCAGTCTACCCACATCCATGTGCCAAAACCACAGTTTTCATTGTTCCAATTTTATTAATGCTTTTATGTCTCACTGGGCAAGTCTCATATCTTACTTTATCCTCACAGTATCCTGAGTATACTTGAATTTTTCAAGTAATTTTAGGATGGGTTTATCCAACATCCATGAAAAATAACTTGCTGGAATTTTTATTGGAATGCCACCAAATCTATAAAACAATTTAGAGATTACTGAATTTCACTATTCTTGAATATAGTATATTTTCTATTTTTAGGACTTCAATAATATCATTCAATAAAGTTAAATTTTTTATCTTATGCAGATTTTGCAKATTTTATTGGATTGCTTTATAAATTATATTTTTGATATTTTTTTCTAATTGTTGCTATGTAAAATTGTAATTGATTTCTGATATTAATCTTGCTAAACTCTTTATTATTTCTGATAACTTGATTGTAGAGTCTGGGGTTTTATAATAATATCTGTGACTAATCACACTTTGGTTTCTTGCTTTATAATTCTTATTTTTTCCTTTTCTGACTGGACTGACCAGGATCTCTTGTATCAGTAAATAGAAGCACAAATATTGGACATTCTTGTCTTTGTCTCCATTTTAAAGGACATGTGTCTAAAGTTTCTGTTAACAATGACGATGCTGTATGTGGATTTGTTTTCCCCTTTTGAAAGTTTGCCTTCTATTCTTACTTTGCTAAGAAATGAAATAATGAGTTGCAAAAACCTAACCATAAACTTCCCTTTCATAGTTTGCATTCCCCTGTATCTTTCACCACAATGGAGCTATTTTCTTTATGTCTTCCAGATCACTAGTTTTTCCATTCAAATGAATTGAGTCTTTTATTAGATATTTCCACTGATTCATTTCTAACAATGTTTTATTTATTTTTTCCAGTTTTGCTTGATTAGTTTTGAATCTCTTCTAACTCATTTTATAATGGCTTCTTGTTGCTTGCTGATTAGGAGTCTCCAACTTCCTCCTTAACATTTCATTCTCTGTCAAGTGTAACATCTAAGGTCTTTAGTGAGATTTAGTTCTGTTGTTTCCAATTATTCTGGCTAGCATGCTTCCATACACACACACACACACATGGCTACTTCACCAGCCCTTTTTATTTTTTGATACAGAGTCTTACTAAGTTGTTGAGCGTGTCCTTGAACTTGCCTCAACATCCCAAGTCACTGGGCTTAACGGGAGTGTGCCCGTTATCTGATCTTAATTGTCTGGCAGTCCTGAGAGTTTAAACTTCAAGTACTTTCTTCCAGAGAGATGTCTGTTTCCTTCAGATGTACATTTATTAATTGGACTTTTTTCAAGAATCCAAGTAAATATCAGGTATATAAGTCCTACTCTACAGGGCTTATTTTCTGACTCCAATTTTGGTATTTCATGGTTGCATATTGCTTACTATTCTTCTTTCAGTTTTTATTTTCCCCCTGAAATGGTTCCATTAATTTCTGGAAGCCCAGAACTGCATTAAGAAGTAAATTTAGAGCCAAGCATGGTGGTGCATACCTGTAATCCCAATAACTCAGGAGGCTGAGGCAGGAGGATAGTAAGTTGGAGGCCAAACTCAGCAATTTAGCAAGACTATCAATAACTTAATGAGACTCTCTGTCAAAATAAACCATTAAAAGGGTGTGGGGATGTAGCTCAGTGGTGAAGTGCCCCAACGTTCAATCCCCGGTAACACACACACACACACACAAACACACACACACATTCAGGGTCTGGGTGTACAGCTCAATGGTAGACATTTGCCTAGCATGTGCAAGGCTCTGGATTCAATCTCCAGCATAATGAAAATCAAAAACACAACCAAACGAACAAATGTTTATTTTAACCAAAGACAGACTCTTCAGAGTGTCTCTGATTTAAGCTGAACGTTGAAGAATTCCCTTTCTGGACTTTAAACATCATTAAACATTTCAGTTCTASTCATTACAGGATTCATCTCTCCCAACTTTGCTGCCCTAATTTAGACCATCATTTTTCACCTGCTCTTTTGCTATCCCATTCTCTATCTTGCTGCTGGTAATTGTTCTAAAGTCAAAACCTGATCATAATCTCCAGTWGTCACCTAGTAGCTATCACTTATTTATACCATTCCAAATGTGGGAGCATTTTATATACATTGTATCTAGTTCTGTAAAAACCTACTATCTGGGTTTTATTATCCCCAGAATGGATTAGAAAAGTTCAGCAAGAGAGTGGGGATTCTGAGTCAGATCTACCTCCAGATCCTACTTGGTGGTGCCCAAAAGCCTTCGGGGGTTCCTCAGATACACTAACACAATTGGGGGTGTCATGCAGGGATCTTCAGCCTTTCACGTTAACTCCCCTTCTCGCCTCTCCTTTCTGAGCATCATKCAGTTTTCCCAAGCACCATGGCTATTTTGTACCACCTGGCCTGTGCACAGTTCAGCTGTCTTTTCTGTAGTCTCATCTGATGATCTTCTCTCAGTCTATCATTGTGTCTTGTGTAGCTTTTCTCCACTCGCTACAATGAATAGTTTGTTTGCCAAAAAGTCCTTACTATTCTGTCTCATTTTAATCATACAGGAAAACAGAGTAATTCTAAGCAGATTTAGAATACAGAATTCAATGGATCACTACTTACCCATAAATAAAAGCAACATTTGTGTAAGTGCTATGGTCCTTTGAAAGATCTTGTACATATGATTCAGGCAAGAGGCCCAGTTTTCTCACTGATAAATGAGTGTGGGTTGTGGATAAAATGAAATTATGAACATAAACCACTTAGCATACCAAGTGTACTCAGAGAGATGCAGCTGTTACTAGGGAATGGGAGGGAAGAGCAGTTAGAGGACCAAGACACCCCCTTCACCTCAACCACCAGATGCTCTGTACTCATGTCTCTACCCCAAGTCTAAGATTTACTTTAAAATATATCAACAGAGAAAAATTAACCTTAACAACTGTTGGACAAATGGGAATTCATGGTGCTTAGTCTCTTTAAAATTTTCATAATTTTGTTAAAAGAAAAACTCTGTTGACGCTGTTATGTGGTTTTTATTGGTTCTGCTGATACAATGAATTGCACTGATTTCTAAGTGTTGGACGAATCCTGTCTTCCTGGAACAGATCCAGCTTTGTCCTAAAAGTTGTTCTTTTGGCAAGTAACTGAAGCCAACTAGTGTTCTATATGGGTTTCTTGTGGGGTATATTGTATATGTGGTGTCCTTGTGGGATGGGAGCCAGGCACTGGGGCTGGGGTTGTGCTCACCTCAGAGGATGGTTCAATGGTGTTTTCCTTCTTTTTCTCCTACTCTCTGAAGGAATCTTTGTGGGACTGGTACTGCTTCTTCCTTAAATGTTTTGACTTGAGAAGTAATTAAAGTTTATTTTTAAATCCTTGATCTGTTAGATATGTGAAGAAATAATTTTAAAAGTAAATGCTCTTTTTATTTTTTCCATCTTTGGAGTGCTAGGGATAGAATCCATGGGCTCATGTATACTAAGCAAGTGCTCTCCCTCTGAGATATATTCCTGACCCCTAAAAATAAACATATTTGAAGAAATAAAGTGTGTGTAGCAATCTTTCTTTTTAATTAAAGTGTGTTACTTTCTTAGTGAAGGGTAGTAGAATCCCCTCATCTCAATGACTGGACCAGGAGCCCCACCTCTGGCCTAGATTCAACCCCTTAACACATTCTTTGGTCATTACCACCATCATCACTGGCACTTGCCAGGCAGACACGATTGCCAGGCACTGTCCTGGGTACGCTGCATAGGTCATTTCCTTTAATCATAGCCAATGGCCTATGAAATAGCTACCAGTATTCATTCCCACATTTCAGAAGAGTAAGCTGAATCCTAGCAAACCATGTGTAGGGTCCAAACCTTGAACCCTKGCAATCTGACCACATAGAGTGTGACCACCCACATGTGCCACTGCCCTGTGGAGGTAGCATGGTCTGGAAGTGATGGGAAAAAGACAATCTAGGTTCCAATCCCACCTCTGCCTCTGACTGCTCTGAGAACTGAGCCAAGTCAGGTAGTGCTCCCAGCCTTACTGCCATTGATTAAAAAAAAAAAAAAAAAGGCTTGGTTCAGTGGTTTTGAAATTCTGCCTGCGGGGACCTGGGGTTTGGAGGCACAGGGGTATTCAGATAGCACAGCAGCTTTCCTTCTTCTGTATCATAGAACACAATGATTTGAACGTTTTTATTTCCTCTAGAATTCAAGTTCAAACTTAATCACTTAATCACTAAAATAACAGTATTAAGAGGCAGGTAATACTTAGGGGAAGTGATAAGACCTCATGCATGGGATGAGATTCCCTTATAAATGGGTTTGCCATAGAGAGTTCATCCTTTAGTCCTTCCACCTTCTGCCATATGAGAGCATGGTGTTCTTCCTCCTCAGGAGAATACAGCATTCCAAGGTGTCATCTTGGAAGCAGACTACCCCTCATCCAACTAAACCTGCTGGCACCTTGATCTTAGACTTCCCAGCCTCCAAAACTATAAGAAAATAAGTTTCTGTTCTTCATAAATTACCCAATCTCATGTATTTTGTTATAGTAACACAAACAGCCTAAGACACGTTGGCTTTCTATAGAATTTCATTTGAACTAATGGTTCTGATGCCTTAAAAAATTTTARGGACACAGACTACTCATCAGCTTCCGAAGTTCATACGTGCTAATATTCTGCTGAATCATTAGATGAATGATCCCATGAATATTCTATGGTTCTATTATCTATCCCATTGTCAAACYCCTAGTTAGGTGGGGTCTATGTTCATCTAACTGCATAAATCTCCATTATACCCAAATATTCATTTCTCTATAACTTCAAGAATAAATTCTTTGCTTTTACAATGAAACCCAGATAGTCTCCTAAAATTTGACCATATGATAAGTTCCTTTTGAACCTCTTTTCTCCTTATAAAACAATATTCTCCAGTGTGTTAAAATATTCCTGTCTTCACCCTACTTTTCACTTAATTTCAGTAGTATTCAGGACAGAGTCTGACACACCATGTAGGCACTCAAGTAATTTGTTGAATGTGGATTTAAAAATAAATCCCCAAAGGTTTAAAAATCAAAGCATCAGACAAATATAACTTTTTAGGAGACTTCAGTTGTTGAAATACATAATTCTTACAGCACAAACACAGTATTTACATTTCAAGTTCTTTTTACAAAATGTGTGCCACTGTGGAAGAATACTGTTGAGATCATGATCTAAAATACCTGTCAAATTTCAAACAGGACTCATGGAATTAGGTTTCCCTAAATCCAATGTATAATGATATAACAAAACATGGCTAAACTTCAGGGTTTACCCCAGACATAAAAAATACTAATCCTCAATGGTTAGCCAATGTTGGCCTATGGCCTGTTCTTGTACAGCTGCAAGCTAAACACAGGGTTTACAGTTTTAAAGGACTGCTTAAAAAAATAAAAACAATGACGAACAATATGTGATAGAGACATTTGTGTCCTGAAATTATTTACTATCTGGCCTTTTACAGAAAAAGTTTGTTGACCCTTGCTTTATACAAAACCAATTCAGAGAAAGAGAGCTACTGGAATATACTGATGAGTATTAAACTAGACACCAAGGTACTGTGCCTGTGCCATCAGAACTACTCATTTCTAAAATGAGGCACTTTTGTTTGAATATGTACATTTCCAAAACATAATTACATCTGGTAAGTAGCACTGCTACTTAACTCTAGCCCTTTGTAATTAGGCCTGCACACAAAATCACAGTATTCATAGGGACTAAAGTAAACAAGTACAAAGTATTTCCAATGTCAGTCACTGAGCTCTTCAGTAGTTACTAGTGGTTTAAGACCACTTTACACATTAATAAAATCAATAATTTGCATATTGCCAATAAGAGATGATATTAACTACATTATTTAAATAGCATCTATAAAATCACGTTTAGACATCTTGATTCACTTTTTTCAGAAGCAAGAATAACTWGTTAGCTTAGTAGCTACTTATCTGAAAAATGAGAAATGGAAAAAAGAAAAACAAAAGTGCAAAACTATAGAAAAAGGCTTTGGAATGAAAAGACGGGGGTCTCTCAGCAATTGCTCCCAAGCTGGCCTGGGCTTCTCCCTTAGCTTGCAATGGTTACAGATGGAAATTAGCAGCGTATCCGTGAGGGTTTTCATAAAAAGATGACAGGTCCATGAGTAAATGCTTTAGAAGTAAAATCAGTTCAGAGCTGTTCCACATCTAAGTTTTTGGAATTGATTAAATAATTCCTGGGCAGTGGGCTATATTCATGCCACAGCACAGTATGGTTCTGAATATTTTCCCTTCTTTGGGCCACGCTGGCTGCACATCACATCACAAAGACACTTCAGTGATGCTGAGTTTCAAAATGCTCAGTAAATTCTGAGGTAGGTGATATTCAAATGAAGATCTTCTAGACCCTGATTCGATCGGGACTGGCTTCTTTGTTTATCCTCCTCCTGGGAAACACCTTCCGCTTAAGAGCAATTAACTAAACAAGGGAAGACAGAAAATAAATTTCAATTTTCCATACTGATGAATGAGTGTGAGTGCATCCAACTTTCTGAGAYATTTGTCCTTAATCATTTCCATAGTCTTATATGTAAAAAAGTCAAAAAACAAGTTTCCTCATTCCTCCCTGAAACAAAAGCAAATTTTAATTTTGTAGGATCAATATGCCTAGGTATATGTCCAGAAACAGACCCAAGAGGATTAAAATTATTTGGGCCCACACTTCATTTTTCTAAAACCCATAACTATAGATTTTTTGTATACCTATTACCAGACATTTATTTTCAAGATTTYTATTTGTCAAGTCTTTCCACCAAAGGGAATGGACTCTAGGTAACCAGTAAGACACTCTCTGGGTTTTAATATGACTGCAGTTGTAARGCAGAATTTTTAAAATACATCTATATTAAAAACCCTACTGACAGTTTTTTCTATACTTAGCAAAAATCATTTGAAAATAAAGTACCTAATTTATGAAAGGAYTGTAATATAAAAATTCTTTTGTAAATCAGTAGCTCAGAATTGGGATAAATAATACATTTTTCCTTATGAACACAGTTACCCATGCTATCATTGAAATAAAAAATGTCACCAACASTATAAAAGTTTCAATGATCATCCACAAGAATGGGTTCCTAATTAGAATAGGATATATTCCATGCTTGKATAATTATATCAAAGTGAATTCTACTGTCATGTATAACTAAAAAGAATCAATGAAAAATAAAACTAAATTAAAATAAAAATTAAAAATAAAACCTAGCCCTTATGGGGGGGGGGCAAACCATGTTCTTATGGTTTCCATTTGGGATCCCTCTTGTGTGCTTTGCCTCCCTCTCTCCTGCCAAGCAGATCCAGTTACCGCTTCCTTGGGAGGCTGGAGCAGGGGCATGTACCACTGTGGTTTAGTTGATGCATGGGATTTGAGCAGAGGAAGAAGTGGTATCGACTGGTTTGTTCCTCTTGGTGGTAGGAARGCAGGGAACAAGAGCTTGATTCAAGTAGCTGGAAAGCAGGGTAACTAGAGGCTTTCCTTTCCTTTCTCCCTCCTACCTCTTTCATTCTGTTCATTGTTTTCTGCTCCTATAAAGGACCCAGGAAAGACTGACCTTCCTGTTTTCTTCCACTGCCCCCCAGTGGCTCCTTTTAGCTCCCTCTTTTTCCCTATCCTTGGACAGTTTAGACTCATAAATCTCTCAATGGACTCCTATTCTAAAAGTAAGTAGTCTTTCTGAGTTTTTTTTTTTTTTTTTGTAAGATTTTTACCTGCCAGGAACAATGGCAACAAAAATATYAGGAACAAAATATTCGAACCTGAAGATGAGTAAGTATTAAATTGCCATCCTACTTACCTGTCTAATCTCCATTTTCTGAATTTCCTTCCATCAGTGGCAGGAAGCTCAGTGTTTATTCTAAAGCTCTCAATTTTTAGGCACYTCTTTTCTCTTAGTGCAAGTAAACCTGGTGTACATCTCCTTTGAACGACAACTAGAAAAGGTCACTCAAGAGTCACCTTGACCAGAGGCTGAGGTGGGGCTGTTTGCCCCACACAAGTTAGGTCACCTCAGTTGCYGTTCTCCTCCTTCAATCTTTTTTCTTCAGGGCATTTCATACCTGCAGCCTAATGAGGATTCTCTTATCCCTCTCTTTTCATCCCTACGTCTTCAGGACCTTCACATCAAGGAAGCTGAGAGTGGGCGCAGAGGCGAGCCTAACGGTAAGGGACTAAAACAGCAGAGGGGGCGGGGATAGGGGAACCCAGGAATTCACTGAAGTGGGAGGTGTACTACCCGTGTGTGCAGGGCACACACACCCAGGGGGTATCTGAAGAGAAGATGCTGAGGCTGTTTCAGGAAAGTTAAAAGAGAAAGAAAGAAAATCAGAGACCCATAAAAACTAGCMTCAGACAAGGATTCTAGGCAGGTTTTGGGTTAAAATTAAGTAGAGTTTTTCAGTTTTAGCTCAAAATGTACAAGTTAATCCACTAAGAGTCAGGCAAGAAGAAGACAGGTAATGGATTTAGAAGATATATGAATAAAAATCYCTTATACTGACTGCCTAAATGTTATAAAATATATTTCACATATTGGCATATGTGTTATAAGCTAACAGAATTTAAAATATTCTAGTTGTGAATTTATATTATTTTCTAGAAGACTCAGATAATAATGTACCAAGAAATACTAACACCTATGTAAAATATATAAAACTTACCTGTTCAGCAAAAAACGAGAACACAGTAAATATAATCAAAGTAGCTAGTACACAATGGGTCCAAAACTTCAACTTATCTCGATATGCCCTCCTGTTCAGACAGAAGAAAGAAAATATGTACTTCTGTATATGGCTTCGCTGTCATTAGTTAAAAGTAATTTATATACTATTTTTACAAAACAATGCTGTGAAAAGCAAAAACATTTTTTAMAGGCAAGGCGAAAAATGTTAACACAACATATAGTTCCAACATGAGTTCAGATTAGTTACTGTGGTATAAAACACTGTACTAGATTACTAGAAATTATCCAGGCAGGAGAGAAGACTTCAAAAGAAAATTGTGGTATTTAAACAAAATCACTCTTTAACTCRCTTTTATTTGTTCATATTCACTTCATCACTTGTTAAAAAAATTTCTGAGATACAGAGAGAGGAACAATATGAAGTACCAGTGCAAAAATATTTAGAAACCTTAAGAGCCATTATGGCCACAACAGATAGACAAAGAGACACATCAGCAAAAGCAAAATCTTGAGGAAAAACTCAGAGAAAGGAGGACAGCTCCGCTGAGATGGTACATTTCCTTCAGATTTGGAGGGGACAGGGGAAGAGTYTGGCAGAGGGCAGAGTTGCAGCTGAGGCCTGGAGGACAGCTGAGCTGYAGGAAGGAGGGTGGGTAGGAGCTGGCCACTCTGGGAAACCCTGCAGTAGGGTCTTTATATAAAACCAGTGGGAAAGTGGATGGGATGGTAGGGGACAGAGGCGTGTGACACAACTGGAGTAAAACTGGTCACCACTTAAAGGATAAGTGGATAACCAAGCCACACAGTCCARTGTTAGTCCAGGCATGAAAAAAGAAGGAAAGGCTGGCCTTGGTCAGTGAGAAGAGACATTCAAAGAAATAGCAGTGGAAGGGACATTCTGAAGATAGAATCAAGTGGTCCCAGAGATAACAGAATGTTGGGGACAAAGACAAGCAGCACAACAAGATTTCTCACCTGTAATTTGGAAATAATGAATAATTTGTTATGAAAAATAATTTAAAATGTTTAACATAAGGTTTGGAAGATAAGCTAATAATTATCCTCAGGCCTCTGTTCTGAGTTTCAGGTTCTCATTTACCACTGTTGTTGGAGTGGAAGACTCTACCTTAAGTCTCACACTCTCCCCTCCACAGTTCTTCTTCTTCCTTTCCTACATCTGCTACCAGGATCACAACCAGCTCAGTCAACTCCAGTGTCAACAGTGTCATTCAGAATCCATGTGTTCTTTAAAGAGCTAAGAAGCACCRGCTATAAGGCAGCTAATATGTTGCCCCAGCAATCAATCATCACTGAGAACCTACTGTGTGCTGGGAAGGAACCAGAAACCAGCAAGATACCACCTGTATCCCTAAAAAGGATCCACAGTCAAGCAGGAGAGGCAAACATCAGAGATTGCTGTACAGTGCAGAAGTGCTGATCCCAGAAAGGAGTCAGACATTTTGTGGGAATAGGATGAAAGATGACAGGAGACTCATGAAAGGAAAGAGAAAAGGGACAACTGTTTCCAGAAAGAAGAGTTGGGTTGGTGGGTCAGAGTGAGGGATGACACAGAAGTGAACGGGATGAGCAACCAGTGCCCTAAATCAGAGGATGACAAGAACATCCACACTTGACTTGTGTTACTGGCACAACACAGAATCAAAGAGTCGTCTCAGAGGACTCTTCGGCTCACAATTTCCTGATTCAATTGGGCCCCTGAAGGTAAATYTAGTCACAGCCTAGATTTAGAGAGTTAACACTTAGGACCATCTAAAGAGCTTCCTCCACTGAGCTAAAGATGAAAATAAAAATAAAAATGTACCTATATCAGCAGTGCACCTGCCAACTGTACCGTTTATCATACTCTGACAAAGAAAAAGATCTAATATCAGGTATGGGCTTCCAAAAATCTCTCTTTTCCCTTAACACATACCGTTTCTTCTACTAGAAGTGCTCTTCCATACCTRGAAAAGTCATTTGGATAATTCAAATCCAGGTAAAAAAAAAAATGTTACCTTCCCCCAGCACAATCAGCTATTCCCTCCTTCATACGCCAACAGCAGTGAACCCCACAGCCACACTCAGTACACTAAGTCAGCCACATTCCTGGTGTCTGGATCCCTGGATAGACTGTGGGGACCTCCAAGCTCTATGCCTTTTGTCTTTATATTCTAAGTGCTTGGCACAGGGAGGCAGGCAAAGGGTCAAAAMTCTTCCTAAATTAAAAGATAAAATTATCCTTCTATTTAAATGCTAGCAGTGCAAGAGAATAAAAAATGAAGGAAATGTACAAAGTGACTTTGGAATACAGTGGGATGTGCAGACGGTGGAGAGTCAGGCGGGACCTGCTAGTTGCCAGCTATTTCAGTTCAACATCACTCAACAGTACCTTTCATTGCTGTGTCTAGTACACAGCTAGTACTTCAGTGCACGTGCACTACTCTGACGTGGTCAGACTGTGGTATTGGTATGGGGGAACAAGGCCTGGCAGGTGCTGAACCAGACTCTGGGAAGTGGGCTGCCCAGGTTCCCACATGGGCACCCTAGTCATAAGCCAAGATGCCTTGTGTAGGCCATATCCTAGCTYCATGCTCCAGATACTTTGAGGACAAGTGTTACAAAGACACAGTTGATGGAAAAGTTAAGTGAAAACATGGACAGAAAACTTTCAGAACAGTGTTGTTACTTAGCACTCAATATAGGTAATGATGATTCCCACRGCAGATAACTAATGAAAAATAAGACTGAAAAATCAAGCATAGCAGAAAGCAAAAACAACGCCCACATCAGTGTGACTTGCACTTTTCCCTAGACAGTTAGGAGTGCTTCARGTATCTTTTTTGATGGCTGCCTTTTCTCCTCAGGCCCTCTAACACTCCCGCATTTTCTTTCTTGATTCTCGCCTACTCTCTGGACTCTCTGCTGTTAACAGTCTATCCTGGATCATAATTTCCACTGGAAGCTCTGAAAACAATGATTTCCTGAATCAGGCCTTCCCTAGCTTCATTCTACAAAAAAAAAAAAAAAACAAACAAACAAAAAAAAAAACCATCCAGAGCTGGCAAACCCATACTTAGAGAAAAGGCAGACTAAGAGTTACCGGGGGCTGAGAGTAAAGGCAATGGGGAGGAACTGCTTGATGGGCATGGGGAATTCTTTGGGAGTAATGAAAAAGTTTTAAAACTAGGGAGATGTTATACAATATTATACAGGACCTAAATGCTACCGAATCATGCTCTTAGAAATGGTGAGGTGTGGGTTACATGATTTTCATTTCAATTGGAAAAAAAAAGAAAAAAAACTGTCATTGATGCTTGTCTTCCCTGGTTTTCATCCCTTCACAACTCTATCAGATAATTTCTAAACACTTAACCAAATGGGCTCCTAATTCTTCTCCAGGTTTCCGTCCCACCTTTTCCAGCATATGAATCCAGCTGAGTCAGCCTGGCAGCCACACCACCCTCATCATTTTCTTCTTTAACCTTTGGCTTRTAGACACCTTCCTACCATTATCTGAGAGTGCCCTCAGGACTTAGCCCAATTCCATTTTCCTAAAGACAGACCCTCCAGTTTGGCCCACAATGACTTCATGTGCCTCTCATTGTGTGCTAAACAAAATTTCTTTCCACTCCTATGTTGATCAGCAAACCGTTGAATAAATAAGCAAAGTTCTAATTACACTGGAAAAACTCAGCCACCTAGTTTTTTCAATCCCTTGAAGTGATACTAAATGTTTTTCAAATATTAAACACAATAAAAACTATAACTGTATTTTCTTTTTTGCAGTGCTGGGGAACCCAGGACCTTGTGCTTGCTAGGTAAGCATTCTACCACTGAGCTATATCTCCAGCCCCCTATAACTGTATTTTCACACACACACACAAAAATTACAYAGCAAATAATATATAAAAGAAATTTCACTTATTTAAGATAAAGATATGCACACACACACACTTTTATATGAAAAATGAGATTTTACCATTCCTGCAGCTCATGCATATGAAGGAAACGGTTTCGGTATTCTCTTGGCAGCTCAAATTGGGAAGGTATGGGAAACATGGATTCATAGAAGTCCCTGAGAACGGCCTTCACTGTCTGGGCATCTTTATGATTGTGATCAATGTTGTCATTTAGGCAAACAAACTTCCTGAAATAATAGAGAGCCAGAGTTAATGGTCATCATGAACTTGATCCTGACCTGACAAACTGAATAATGTGGATTCCAAATGTCATTCATTCATTCATTCATTCATTCATTTATTATTGGACAATGAACCCAGGGCCATGCACAGGTAGAAAAGTGCTCTACCACTGAGCTATGTCCCCAGCCCTTTCTACTTTATTTTGAGACAGGTCTCACTACAGGCTGACCTCCAACTTGTGATCCTTCTCTTCAGCCTCCAATTGCTGGAATTATAATTGCCACCATGCCTGGCTCTTAATGTATTTTAAATGGACTTATGTTCCAAGTTGGTACATCTTCTGATGACTCTGGGGAAGTAATGTTCTGTAAAAATTTCCTCCAGAAATTCCTCATCTGTGAAATAAGAGAACTGAGGTAGATAATCTTAAAGATTATCTGTTTTCTGGCTATAGTAGTAAATTAATGATTTCCATTAGTGCATAATGACTGGAATATTCTGTTAGCAGCTAAGAAAAAAATTATTAAGTACCTAAAGCCAAGTTTTCTAAGTGATGGTTATATTATAAATGGTCATAYAGATAACTAAGATAGACACCATGCCTTATAGCTACAGAGTCTATGAGTTGGACATTTTTAAATTAATTTTTAAATTAATTACCAAGCTGTAATATGCTAGCTGTAGTCTGCAAAATGCAGATTAAAGTGGTGCTTCCCCTTTCAAGTTCTCTTCAAGATAAAAGTCACTATGTCAAGGGACCATTAAAAAGTGGTCTGGGCACAGTGGCAAACACTTATAATCCCACTACTTGGGAGGGAGGGTGATCACAACTTTGAGGCTAGTCTCAGCAACTTAGCCCTATCTCAGAGGGCTGGGTGTTGCTCAGTGGTAAGGTACCCCTGGCTTAAATATCCAGTATCAAMAAAGAATAGGAAAAAAAAAGGTTGGTCCAATGACACTTTTGAAGTAGATTTAATGAAATTTTTAATAAAGGCTTCAGATYTAACTACCAATTCATGGAAAATGCAGGGTATATAAAAACATGCTAAACAACTAAGAACTGATTAGAAAARCACAGTGTAGGAAATTTACAGAAAACAGAATCAGATCTCTTCATATACCCACTCCCCACACATAGTAGTTTAGAAAAAAGAAATGAAGGGAACATCTACAGATTTAGCTGCAATGAGTTTATCTGATGCCACTTTAACAAACATAAAAACACTATAAATACTTATGAAATGACAGTGGAGAAAGGTGTATACTGATAGCTGGCTGACCTTAAGAAATCACTACTGATTTTTTATAGTGAAAATGTTATTGCAATTATATTTTAAAGAATCTTTATAGTTTAGACATATATACTAGAGAATGTATTGATAAAATGATACAATGAGATTTACTTAAAATTACTCAGAGATGGTGATGGGGTGAGTTGGTTTAGATGAAATGAGCAAATATAAAATAATTCTTATTGAAAGTTCACTCTACATGCATTCCSTAATTTGGGGGATTTCTTTAAATCAAAGGATATTCAAGAGCTATATCAAAAGCCTTGATTGTATCCTAGATTTAAAACACACAGAGACAGATGGCAGCTATCAGGGGCATCTGGAGGCAACTGGTAAATTGGATAAAGCCTAACTATTAGAGGGYGGCGTRTACGTCACTGTTGAAATTTTTGGATGTGYGGTCATGGTCTTGTGGTCTATAGATGAAGCCACCAGCACAGCAGGAGGGTAGCGGAGCTAAGAAGCCAAAGCAGAGCTGAGGGCTGGACCCTGCCAACCCCAGACTCTGTTAAAGGCATAGGCATATCCTTAAGTTCAAGTCAGTTTGAACATTGATTTTTCCATGCCTGTCTTAAAGTGAGCCCTCATAAAAGTAAAACAAAACAAAGAATTAAAAATTACGTGTTCAGAAACACTGGAGGAGCTAGGTCTGGCAACCACTGTCAAGGACGGCTGGCTTGCTGTCTTTTAACTATACTTTAAGTGCCACAGAGATGGCTATAGTTTCTTTCACCCAACCATTTCCAAACTAGCACAGAGACACAAAAGTACAGGCTACAGTTCAAAATGGTAAATTTTCTTATCAGTTCTACGAATCACTAGTGTCTAAGAGACGAATAGGGGGAATTCTGTATCCCAATCAAAATGGATTCTAAAGACTAAAATTAATTTTTAAGAAGTAGAGCAGTGCATTCCAGGTGGAGGAATGTACAGCATACACAAAGAGACTTGCAGCCGAGTATTTATTAATCGTACGGCTTATGGTAAGCTTGAGAGAAATATTTTTTGAAATATCAATAGTTTCTTGGGTTACTAAAGACACGAAATAAACACTGAAGATATTTTTAATTTTCTCAAAATTCCAATATCTTTCTCCTTTCCCTCCTGAAGAAGAATGGGATTTCTAAAATAAATATCATCATTTTACAATGTCTAGAAATTATACATCTCTGGTCATTCATAATTAAAATTCCATTTAAAGGAGGCAAAACTGAATACTTTCAAAGGCATTTAAAAGACTCAGAAGTAGGGCTAGGATGTAGCTCAGTAGTAGAGGGCCTGCCTATCATGCAAGAGGCCCTGGGTTCCATTCCCAGCACTGCAAAAAAACAAAACTCTAAAATGAAAAGTGTTTATTTTATATGCCAAGGTCTCCCCACTCACCCCAAAGTGAAAACAAACAATTCAAAAAATGAAAATTTTAACAGATCTTTTCCTCATGGTTAAAAACTGCTTTACTTGTTATGGTCAGTACTAGTCAATAAATGTTGATCCYCAAAGAAAAGCTCAGTTATTTATCAGATGACTGGTCCACAGAGAGCTGAATGATGCTGGACTAAATAACTACTGAGAAGACTGAAGCCAATCCCCCCTGTTTCTTGGGAGATGAAGCCACAGCCAACTGATATACAATCCCGTAAGGATCACGGTGGCCCCATGTGGGAGGGCATCAGCTACCTCCACTCTTCAGATGCACTGGAATTCCACTATCCTCCTGAAATGGCTTTTGTTTCTCTGGAACTTTATTTCAAAATGTATGCATGAAGCAGTGAGGATGGTCCTCTGGGCAATGTRATAAAAACCCAGCAGGTTTGTAGCACTCTGGCTCAGATGCTGCCCACTGGTCATGACAAATGAATGGCAGGCAAATTTCAACTAATTTTTATAAACTCATCAAAACAACAGCTAGGGTCAGGCTGAATTTCAAAGCTTATGCAAACCTCAAAATGTATTCATCTCAAAGAATGGTTGAAGTTTATCAGATTAATTTTCACATAAAATTTATGGTAGCATTTCTTTGTCCTTGGAAATTCATCTGAACTTCACTTTGAATTGTGAACATAAACCTAACCACCCAAACAACTGCTCTGGAGGCGCCCTTTTAATAATTCTGGGGATACCAGAGGCCTGCCCTTCAATCTCACTGACAACTCACGGTTCCCACTCCTAGGAGTCCAGGCTGACCCCTCCACATGGTGTCCCATCTCAATTTGCCACTCGCACCTCTCAGTTAAGCCCCAGCTTGAAACACTAATTCCACCATTAGGCCTTTCTGCCCAGAACTGAAATAAGTTAATCTCTTCTCTCTGGTCCTGTTGCCCTTTGGTCAGGTTTATTTGCATAATTAAAAATAATTTAAAGAAAATCAGTACCTGGGGTTTTTTCTTATGTCATCCAACTGGCCAACCACATGAGAAACATTGGTACGAATCATTTTGAAAGCAATCTCTTCTTCTCCCATTATTTCAAACCTGATTATCAAAACATATTTAAAGAGGCTAAATATTTATGTGAATATGAAAAACAAAATTTCAATGAAAAGAGCATTTTTAAAAATGTTAGCAGACTCAGAATCCACAGAATGACTGGACCTTCAGTATTACTAAAGAAAACAATCTTACATAAATTTTAAAAGAATGCTGAAAAGAAAAAAATACAGAAAAAAATTATGAAAATGTCAGACCTTTGAAATTAGTATTAAACTAAGCAAAGAGAAAATATATGCACTACTCACCTATATTTGTTTTTGTCCTTATATGCTTTGTGGATTTTGTCAGTTACTGGTTTACAATTGGTTACTAGATTTTTAGTGACCGGTGGCTGTGAGGAAATACAAGTAGGTCAGATGTTGTATTAGGGATGAGATAGGATGAGGTGAGCAGAYACTCACCTAAGGTGCAAAATGTAAGGGGTACCTTATATTCACTGAAATGAATATTTTCATGGAATATTAAAAAAAACATGTTGGTATGTTACAAGCCTGCTGGTTAATCAGCTGTTTTTGCAAATAAAATTTTATCTTAATATGCATTACACTATATTGTGTTTAAAAATCTTAATGTTTTCAAAAAGACAATTTCTAATCCAAAATAAATTGATGTTTAGAAGTTATAACCTGTAGCTATAACCTAGAAGTATAATGTGATTATAGTTCTATAATCAGAGAGAACTAGTCTATATGATACTCGCAAACAAACTTAGTGATTTTATACTCTAATTAGAAAATACTTTCTTTATCCTGMATGTAATCTGTTAATTATAGTAATGAAGCCTATGCCTTGGATGAGTTCACTGAAGTAATGTTAATTAATGCTGCCAGTGTAACTAATTATTTATGTCTTAAACAGTTTACATGCATGAGCCTCAAGACCAAATTATAACCATTGGTAAAGCAGCCTTACTTAATTTTTGGCTCTCAAAGGATATTTTCTGATTCTAAATTTCATGCCAGAAATTTGGCAAACAAAATAATATTCTGCAAATGAAAAAAGATGTATACATTTCAATGGAAAATTGAAATCTCTCAATAATCTCCCACTTTGGCCACCAAGAGGCAAGACAAATGTCTATTTTCTAGGTGCTTATACTCTTTCCTTAGAGAAGAGCACATTTCTACAAGTTCCAGTATCTGGTAATGGTAAAGTCTGACTAGAAGTTTTACAAGAGAAAGAAGTGGAAATTGGTAATTGTGGATGTGTAACCGACRTGATTCTGCAATCTGCATTTGGGGTAAAATTGGGAGTTCATAACCCACTTCAATCTAATGTATGAAATATGATATGTCAAGAGCTTTGTAATGTTGTGAAAAACCAATAAAAATAAAATTAAATTAAAAAAAAAAGAAGTGGAAATTGGGCTGGGGATGTGGCTCAGCGGTAGCGCTCGCCTGCCATGCGTGCGGCCCGGGTTCAATCCTCAGCACCACATACAAACAAAGACGTTGTGTCCGCCGATAACTAAAAAATAAAATATTAAAATTCTCTCTCTCTCTCTCTCTCTCTCTCTCTCTTTAAAAAAAAAAAAAAAAAAGAAGTGGAAATGTTGGGAATATGGCTCAGTGGTACTTGTGCTTTCCCCRCCTGCATAAGGCCCTGGGTTTAATTCCCAGCACCACAAACAAAAACAAAACAAAAAACAGTGACAGAAAGAAACACAAATGAAAGGATGGGAAAAATAAAACGGGCTAAGTGTATTCTGAGGCAAGTGAGTGGCCAAAAATTAAGTAAGGCTGCTTTGCTAATGATTATAATTTAGTCTTGAGGCTCATGCATGTAAACTGTTTAAGATATGACTCAATCACCCCCAAAAAACTGAAGACCAAAGAGGATCAGGTTAAGAAGAAAGGCCAAGGGGAAGCAGTTTCGGAGTCCCACAGCCTTTCCTCTTTCCATCTCTTCTATCTTAACCATACTAAGGGGTGCCCACAAGAAAGATAAAGGAAAAGAAAGGGTAGCTTGGAGCACCCAGATGCCTACTTTCTCTCTCAAAGAGAAATAGTGCACCCAGATCCCTAATAATAGATAAAAATTTAGTAATCTTGACAAATACACAAATGTTTGTTTCTTTAAACTAGGTCACTGACTTCTCTGATTCAGAGTTAACTGTACTAGGTTACAGTTTAGAGTTTTGTTTTCAGAAAACAGAAAAGTGTTATTGTTTTAAAAGTTTTGTAACTGAGAATGTGAAATCTAATTTCTAAGACATTGATTTTATTCTCTCCAGAGGTAGCAAAATAACCTACCATGATGACATACATACCATTTTCATGATTGAGAACATGCTAGCAAACAATTACTAACATTTATAAAACAGTCTGTAGAGTTTASATTTTTTCCCAAGCTTTAACTATTTTATCCTTCTAGATTATGTCAAACATCCAGAAGAAACCCTGAAGCACACCAAGGAGCTGCTATCCTCTCACCAGCCTGAGTGCTGATCAGCTGTGCCTGAGGCCTACTGCAAACCCACACCCAGAACTACTCTCATTCTCTACCTGCTGGTTCCCATCTGCTGACCTTACTAGAGTGAATTCCTTTGTGGCTGACAATGAGTCTTGCTCTATTGATCTTGWCCTCACTGACTCTGTAGTTTAAAGTTTTAGAATACTTAGAGAATTGGCTTTTTAATTAGCACAAATCTGTATACCTGCCCAAGTCGCATGCTAACCTGACCTATGTGTGCATGATTGCTAGTACTTATGCTTGGTCTATGTGCCTCCACAGCTGCTGTTCCACCTCTCTCATCAGTGGCTGCCACTCATCACACTACTCCTCCTTGTGAGTGAGTTTCCATTGGGCTCTCTGAACATGTGCATGAGAAACAACTCCTGACAGGCACACCGAATGCTAAATGAATAGTTTTCTTTAAGGARTAAAATTTTTAACTGATTTTATAAYTCTTCTCTATAGTTTTTACAAGTGTCTGATCTGTACTTAATAATAACTTATATGTGACTTGAAGACTTGCCAAGACTGTAAATTTTTTTAAAATAACAATTTTATTTTATTTATGAAAGCAAAAGCTACTCATTATAGAAAATACTCATAGAAGAAAAGGACATTAAAATCTACTTGTGATTTAACCTATTGTCATTTCTGTTACTTTTAGGGATATGTATGTTTATGTTTGTTGAGGCGGGGCAGGGTATTTGGAAGATTTTCATAATTCAAATCATACTGTGCATATGGTACTAAGCACTTTCCCCACCGAATTTTATATTGTGAGCATTTTTCCATATATTAGTAAAAATTAACTATAAACAATTTGTCAATGTCTGTATTATTCCCGTTCATCAATTCTAAGATGCACATTTTTTTCCCCTTTTTTAACTTCTCTGAAGTGTGTCTTACAATCAACAGTCCTCCAATTACTTCAACCAGGTGGCCTTCTAGTGTGTATGTGCAAACCATTCACTAGTCAAGACTGAGAAAGTGCCAGCACTGGTCCATTCAATTGCTATTTTTTTGGCTGATATTTAACCCCTGGATTGTTCCCCCTGGCCAATGACAATGCTCTCAGGCTACATGCTGCCATCCTACATGCTGTCGAGGACRTCTGTTTATGGAATATATGCAACTGATCTGAATATATCAGCTTAAATCCTCATGGGGAAGGAGAGATTCCAAAGCAAGATATAAATAATTCTGGATTATATGCACTACTACTTTATTCCAGATACTTAAGAAAACAGAGCCTGCCTCTATTTCTTGATGTACTTTACAAAAATGTTGTAAATAACACCTGATATAAATGTACATAAGAGAAACTCAGGCCACTTACCAGATTGGGGTCATAGTATGCTTCCTGAGTTGGGGGAATGTGGTTTAGCTGAGTGACATTAGCAGGTAGTGCTTTTGAGCAATTTATTAACATATGTTCAAGACCTGTCAAATCCTAAAAAAGCAAAATAAAAATATAAACTTGTTATATACATTATAAGTAAAGATTAGGATTTAAAAAACAAAAGTCATGTAAAAGTCTCTATAAAAAAATGACCTAAATACTATCCTTACAAGGCAGTTTAAATCTAATTCTTAGGCATAAAGACAAGCTAAGAAAGAGCAGAATGAGAATGCAAGAACAAATATTTCACCCTCATCTCCAAGTGGAACATACTGGCCTGAGGCACACATTTTATACATTATGGTACAGGGGTCATGACAGGAGATATCTTATAATTCTCCATTAGTAAGTCTCCTACTCCTGGGCTACAGGATGCCCTAATGGAGGAGTGTGGTTGAGATCATGGGTCATCTATGCCTAAAGGYCCTAAATGAATTTGTTACAAGAATCTTATAGAAGGTGTCTACTCTCCAGTTCTTCCCCAAATAAGGAGAAGATAATCCCTAATACAAACCTACAGAAAGTAATCTCATGAAATATGAACTTCAAATGTGGTTTTAATTCTGGCACCTCAAATCAATAAATTACAAAATCCTCATTAAATGTTAAGAATTACTTTTACTTGAATTAAATCAAAATATAGAGCAGAAAAAAAGACTATCAGAATTATAATTTCCATTTAAAATGTCACAAAGTTTAGACTAAAACAATACAAGACCTGYAAACTTAAAGGAAGATCATGAATTCTGGTAGCCAGTGTTCGGATTTCTCTGTCAGATAGGACACCAGATTGGTCTGTATCAACTTCATCAAAGACTTGTGATATATTCAGTGGCTGAACTGCACTCATGAGATAATAAAAATAAGAGAAGGCAAATTGCATGTCCTCTGAATGACGCACTTTGTGAAACGACGTCTTGTCAAATTCTTCAGGGAACCTGTCCAAATATAACATATAGTGAGCTTTGGATTATAAAAATATATATGGTAGCTAATATCTGTGAACATAGAATCTTTTTCTTTCTTCTTATTTAGATAATATCCTTAAAAATATCAGTCACACAATATCAGAGCTAAAAATTTTGCACATGAACAGGCAAATTTCAAGTATCTTTAGCTCTAAACATAGGCAAATAACTCAAACACAAGTAAGACTTACATATCCTGCAGTTCTTGCATAACAATTCGGTCAATCATGTGAGGCATGTGTGCAGGGACTTTCCGAGATGTGAATCCAAACTTGCTGTTTAAAATTTTATTTACATATCGGAGTGAATCTGCAAATGTATCTTTTAGTTGCCTCCCAGTATGTTTGCTATCAGTAAAGTATGCCAATTGTGTCTTCAATGACTCTTCTTCCTGAAGGAGAATTCCATATAACTCAGGGTTATACTCAGTGCTAAGTGTACCTTCTTACCAAGTAATAAAGGCATTGAAATTCCCAWCATTGGCTTGAGAACAACAATTGTGTGAGAGGTCTGTTTATAGGGTGTTCCTGAAGGACTAGTCATTGATCATAAGAYTTTGAAGCCAATTCATGCAACATTTAGAAAATTTATTTACATATAAATTTGGCAATACTTTCAATATYAAGCTATTTTGTGCTGGTGATCTCAAAGCATCAAATAACTGAGTTTTAAACATAAGGAGTAGAAACAAATTTGCTTTCACTTATAACAATGTTTAAGATTATAAAATCAAAACCAATAAGAGGCAGAATTAAATGGGCAAAGAAAATTGGCAAGGAATTCAAAGACAAATTACAGAAGAGGAAATATTTTTGCCTCCCAGAATGAAAAAAATCCAGTAAAGAAATTGACAATACCTGGTGTTGGTTAGCCTGTGGAGCAACAAATACTCCAGTATGCTGCTTGTTCCAGTGTGAAGTGGTGCAATATTTTGGGATATATTTAAAGTTTATAAGAAACCAGATACATTAACCTAGCAATTCTACCTACATTAGTAAATTTTTATTTCTGTAGGTTGAACTGCTAAGTGTAAGATATACATGTACAAGTATATTCATTGCAAAACATTGGAAATCATTTACAGCCATTAAAACAAACAATGGCAGTGACAGGCATAGTTTGCTGGCATATTTTCAATCAAAAGGCAACTCCAGGGAACTGTATTTACAGTGTAATTTCACTGCTGCAAAACAGAAACSATATAGCTTGTATGTTTGCATACCTACAGAAAAACCTTAGAAGAATACCCATCAAACTATGAAGAATAGCTGTCTCAAGGGCACAGATTGAGGAACGAGCACCCTCTACCCTTTTTAATGTTATATTTTTGCACTGCTTGCARTTTTTATCACTAGTCTATAGTAGTGCTTTTGTAAATATTTTATTTTTTATTTTTAAAAAAGGAAAGAGARAAAAGTGTGAAAACTAAACATAGGCAAGAACTAGGCAGCCCTTCACTCAATGATCAGTAAATGCCTAACGGAAAATAAGATACTTCCTGAAAACACTGAGAGAATGAGACACAAGTTCCCCCTTCATCAGGCACTTGTGGCTCTGCCTCTTCCCTTCCCATACTGGATCATGTGACTTCTCKTGGTCTGTCAACTCCTGGTGGGGGGGAGGGTACTCCTCCTGGATGCTGCCCCCATACCTTAGGCAGATCTAAGCTCTCCCTTTAGACTCCTTACCTGGATCTCAACTGAGATACTTTATCTCATTGCTGCAACTGTCTGCTCACAAATCTGTCATTCCTACTGCTCTCCAAGTTTCCATAGGTAGCAACTATGTACTAGTCATCTTGTATTCCCCAGCACTGAGCACTGGGATGGCACCTGGGAGATGAATAAAGGATGCTACAGCCGGAAGCTATGGCACAAGGGAAGAACACTCCAACTTTTAGTTTTGGCTTACACTGACTTCCTGCTGTGATATTGGCAAAGCTAAGGAACTTATCTGAAACTCAGGTTTTTCTTTCAGTAAAACTAGAAAAACATCAGCTCTRCCATGCTAAGTAAAGATAAGATGCCACTCTGTTCTACTTCCTCAGGGTATGTTTCTTGCTAAATTCCTTACTCATACTATTACTGTTTCCAAAACTGTAAAATGGGAGTAACAATAATAAATCCCCTTATATGGAAGTTTTATAAAAAAACAGATTCTGGGAAAATTAAACGAAATCATGTAAGAAAAGCACTTAGCTTAGTGGATGCACAGGGAAGTATTAAATAAGTGTAGCTATTATTATATTATCACTTACAAAGTTATTTATTCTTCCTGAGAAAGATGAAGAATAATGCCGGATCTAACTTACATCAAGAAGATCTTGGAAATACTTTTTTTTCTCCCAAGGCAAAAAGCCCAGATGAGTTCCTATGAAATGCTGCAGCTTTCTTCCAGGAAAAACCTCATTAACATCTAGGTGATCTTTAGCATCTTCCTCCATTCTGTTTTGTTCTTCTTCTTTCCCTGTGATTTCCTTTTCTTTTGTCACATGGATTTCCAGTGGAATAATCAGAGATGAAAGCTTTCCTTTAGACACATTCCCATTTTGGGTCTKAGTTTCCAATTTAAATCTTGCTTTGGTCTCTAAGAGCAGTGGTGGATTCTGACCCTGGTAGTTCATTTTTACTGTCCCTGATGGAAAAGTCGACMTGTGTGATCTTCCTAGGCTTTCATGAGCCAGTTTTTCTGTTGGGACCTCCAAACTGTCATTTATTTCATCTGTTAGAGTAGCTTGATTTTTTACTTTATCATCCTGTAAGTTCACCAGAAATGATCTCAGCAAGGCTATTTTGGACAAATTGTATCCTTTCAAAGTGATGTCTCCTTGTTCCAGCTGCAAGTCCAAGTTGCTGAGACTCAAYTGGGCCTCTTTTGGGAGGAGTGAAATATTTACCAAGGGAACTTTCACCTCCTCTTGGAATCTTCCTGTTGTGTTAACATCATGTCTCTTGACCTTTGGGAAGCGTTTTTCTTCAGGAATATCCTCAAAAAGGATTTCTGCCTCTGGAAGAGGTGTTATGGGGCTATCCAAATTTTCATAAGACTTCTGGGTTGTAGCATTCACCTTGGGTCCYTCCCTTGTATCCACATCTACTGTTAGCTGGATTTTGAACTCTTCATCATTTGTGTTTTGAAATGTGATGTTAAAATGTATTGTAGTTGCATTCATTCCACTGTGCATTATGAGGTGGATGGTTTTCCACTTATTGGCAATAGAAGCATGTCGAATTATGGGGTTGTCACTATAGGCACCTTCTACTCCTCTTTTGGCTATTTCTGCAAAGCTGAAATAAGGCAGGTGTTCACCTTTTGGAATAATATAGTGAGTCTGGTTTGGAAGAAGAGTTACTTTATATAATTCATGAAAATGATCTAGAGGAAAAAGCACAAACAAGATTTTGTTAAAGAAAAACTAAGCACCATTTTACTCCTCTTCCTTTAATTTTTTGGGTTTGAGTTTCTACTTTTTAAGAGTGATCAGAAATTCTAATTTAATAGCTACTGGTAGGCAGCTCATTTTACTGAGACAATCACAGTTATTTACATGGAATGCTGACCCTGACTCATCTTAGAGATTTGGCACAGTTCTTATTCTTTTTTTTWWAATTTTTTAGTTTTCGGCGGACACAACATCTTTGTTTGTATGAGGTGCTGAGGATCGAACCCGGACTKCACRCATGCCAGGCGAGTGCACTACCACTTGAGCCACATCCCCAGCCCCAACAGTTCTTATTCTTAACAATAAATTCCAAATGCCAATTTCCATCTCTCTTTCTCTACTTGAAGGAAGAAAAGAAAAAGCTTTCTGACAAAATGATGACTTCCATTAATAAGCTATTACGAATATTCAAACTATCTTTATTTAATGAATTATTGACCTGCTCTTATTGTTTCCAAATTAAGCATTCAGCATGTTAAAAGAATGTAAAATGTAAAAGAAAAGATAATCTTAAATGTCAACTGTTTTCTAAAGATCTCTGTCCTTCTCTTTAAGTTAGCTTAAAATTTAGATGCAAAACCAGAAAAGGAAACACAGAGATTAATTACTTAAAATAATAATAACCACCCAAAAGCCCGTATACTTTTCCATGATTTACCCTTTTTCTTTTTGTATGTCATTATGGCAATAAACGTACCTTGCCCACAGTCACCAGCATCAAAGCCACAAGACAAGACGTTACAGGCTTGGTCACAGAACTTATCAGCGAGCCAGGAATTTGCACATCCTTGATTACAGTAAGAGACGCTGTTTAGTCCTCCACCAAACTGCCAGGGCTGTCCAACACCAATGCTCCCAGTACCTCCGCCTCCTGCAACATAGCGACTCCCTCCATTGTTACCTGTAGAKGGAGGGAGGAAGACTAAATCTTGGTAGGTTTTCAATTTTGAAAGAAGATAATTATTTCTTWCTAGTGTTTTCAACACTGATGCATGAATTGTAGTCAGAAAATTTCACCACATTCTTGAGTAGATTTCACGTTGTTGCACAAAACAGACTGGTGGGGAAGCAGCAAGCAGCATTCAGAGAAGAGAACTCCAAACTTTGTTTTATGCCATTGGGCCCAGAGRAAAACAAAACTCCAAATTCTGAGCCCTGATCCATGGTTTCTCACAACAATGATAAGTTATTTGCTGTCATCTTAGACCCATCCTATTATTGGGGCTTTTTCCTTTTTTTCCTTCTTTTCAAAACTGAAGGCCTTGCGCTATATCTCTGACATCACAGGCATCTGTTACATTTGAAGAAGGAGTGGTCAGACTCCTAGGGCAATTATTTACAATCCAAAAGGTARGGACCCAGGGTTAATTAGACTTCCTGGAGAAAGGCTGGGAGAAGAAAGGGGAACTGACCCCTTCCCTAGGCATTGGTTTCTTACCATAACATTTTTATAATTTCATTTCACAACCAGGTCTAGTTTTGCCATCAAAATGTATCTTAAAAAAAAAAAATACAACTGAACAGGGAGCATCACTTGACAGTGCTATAGGACTCATGTGTGCGTGCATGCATGTGTGTGTGCATGTGTGTAGACAAGGAGAAAAGGAAGAGATTATTTCAAAAGCCATGACTATCAAAACTGCACAAGAACATGTCTGAGCATGAATAATGACCTCTTCTACTGAATGTTAATGTTCTACTAGGGACAGAGGCTCTGGCCAGCACACATCTACTTTGAACATTTGTGTTCTCTCCCTATATAGTTGCTTTGTGTTTTCAAAACTATGCCTGACACTAACATTAAAACAAATTAAAAAAAATTTTTTTAAGTATGCCTGGCAGATCCGACTGAAACACAACTTGAAGCTTTGTTTCCTCAAATAGTCAACAAACTTCCAAATGTGTTCCCTCATAAGGAACACGGAGATGATCCTATCTGTACACAAACACACTTTTTCTTAGTTGACCAAGAAATTCAAGTAGATAATGAATAATGCTCTATAAATTTAACACTTTATTGTAAGGTGGTAAATAAATTTTAAAAACTGCTATTTTCAACAAGTCCAAATATGAGTATATGAGAAGGGAAGAAAAGYGGCATCTCTTCAATTATTCCAGACCTGTTGCAATCTGTTGGTAAAAGCTCCTAATCATGAATTCCCATGAGATGACTCAGAATTATTTTGTTCTTGGGTTTATAGTACTCTAGGTTTTCATATTTTAAGTAATAAGAAAAGGCATTTYCAAGTGCAGGATAAATATTGGAAAGTGCCCTCAATAATGGATAATAGGAATAAACTAGGCCACATGAGATTGTGAGTCTATGGATCACCACYGGACATCGTGGCACACACCTATAATCCCAGTGACTCAGGAGGCTAAGGCAGGAGGATCCCAAGTTCAAAGCTAGCCTCAGCAACCTAGCGAGTCATTAAGCAACTTACCAAGACCCTACTTCAAAACAAAACAAAAAAATAAATAAAAAGGGCAGGSGATGTGGCTTAGTGGTTAAGCRCCTCTGGGTTCAATCCCTGGTCTAGGGATCACTGACTATTTCAAATATAGGGTTTAAGTCTATAGCATATCTTCAATTTMATTAGAATGAAAATACTTCTGTAAACATGAAAAATAATCACATTTTAACACATCCTTACCAGTACAATCACCACCATCCCAGTCACAGGCTGAATTATTACAAGCCTTGTCACAATAGCCATCTTTAATCCAGGAACCTGGGCAGCCCTCGGCACAGTTTGGCACAGGCCATGTCAAATAAACCTGTGACAAAACCAAAYAGAAAATAAGTGATTTATGACACTTTTTACTTTGAATTAAAATTCCTTTTTTTTTTTAATCTATTCCTCTCAAAAGGCTGAATTTTCCAAGGCCTAACTGTCCACTTCATGCTTGTGTTCAGCTGGCCTGTCCCAGAGCACCCTGCTGTGGTGTTGGTGCTGAGCACATTCACTCCTTTCCATTACTCAAAAAAACCAGACCAGGGCTCAACACATAGACTAGTTTCTCACACCATGCTCCTGTAATCTACTTTGAAATAAAATAGCATCATGTCAGACTTAATTTTGAGTACAAAAATATGCCACAATAGRTGGGAAGTGTGACAAGAATCAACTGTTTCTCTGTGACAGCCATCAGTAACTCCTAAGTGTATTTAAGGATAATTTAGTCTCAATGAGGAGAGAAGGAATAGAYAGACTCTCAGTATCCTTTACCTCCATGTATAAGGCCGTGTGACAAATGAACCAGCATAGCACTCTAAGCTCCCAAAATGAGTGATAAGGTATATGGTTATCTTTAAAATTAAAACCATTTTAAAAATATACACCCACTTTAAAGTTTCTGCAACTTTGTCACTCCAWCCATTTGGGATGTCTTTCTTCACCTAAACTAACACTTACTTATTCTTCAAAATACATGTCCATTCAGATGGGAGCTGTCCCTCATTCCAACTGATTTAAACCTCCTGTGCTCATGTTCCTCAGCAYGGACATGCCTGTCAGCATCAAAAGCTCTACACACAGTCACTGATTTTGTACTTGTCCCCATTAATATACAAACTCAAATTTGGATCCCTACAATTTAATGCAGATGAGGCATGTGGACAGGGACACAGGAGAAGGAGCAGGTAGGAGACACAGGAGAAGGAGCAGGTGGGAGGCATAAACATCAACAAAGTAACTTTTTGCTCTTAGCATTTAGAGTTGCAGAGTGTTGTGGTTTGGAAATGAGGTGTCCCCCAAAAGCTCATGTGTGAGACAATGTGAGAAAGTTTAGGGGTGAAATGATTGGATTGGGAGAGTTGTAACCTAATTGGTGGATTAAGCCACTAATATAGATGAACGGAGTGGTGACTGTAGGAAGGTAGGCTGTGACTAGAGGAGGTGGACCACTGGGGTGTGCCTTTGGTGTTTATATTTTGTCCCTGGTAAGCAGAGCTCTCTCTCTGCTCCCTTGTTGCCATGTCCTGAGCTGCTTTGCTCTACCACTCTTTCGCTATGATGTTCTACTTCAACCTGGGTCCAGAGGTGGCTGTCTGTGGATTGAAACCTCTGAAACAATGAGCTGAATAAGCCTTCTCTCCTCTAATTGTTCTTGTCAGATCTTTTGGTGGCAGTGATGAAAAAAAGCCGACTAAAACATAGTTTTATAACTCAAGCCTAGAGTGATAAGTCTCTAAATTATCACTACATCCTTCTAACAATGCTATGGGGGTGTTTGTATTTTTCCCTAYCAGGCAGATGGAAAACTTCCCTTGGCCAAGTCACTGTCCAGTGTGGTCCTAAACAGTTGGCCCCTATGTCTGTGCTCTCACTTCACCTTTCCATCCCACCTCTCAGCAAAGCCAGATGGAAACAGGCTGCCTCAAAACAAAATTTCTTCCACACCTGAAGTGCTAATTTGARCTAACTTTCGTTTTTTTACTTTTCTGTTTTTTTTTTTTTTTATTGTTGTTTTTTTGGTACTGGGAATTGATCCCAGGAATGCTTAACTATTAAGCCACATCCCCAGCCCTTTATATTTTTTTTATTTTGAGACAGGGTCTTGCTAAGTTCTTAGTGCCTCACTAAGTTGCTGAGGCTGGCTTTAAACATGCAATCCTCCTGTCTCAGTCTCTGAGACTGTTGGAGCCAGGCACCAGGCCTAACTTTCCTTTTGCTGACACTAATTACAATTTTATTTCCTATGGCAAGGGGAAGAATGGGTCCTGGGTATCCCAGAATGCAGGGAAGCAAATTTCCTATAGTAGCTATTTTACTCAATTGTTGACTCGTTTGAATACTTATTTGTTTACATTTGAGTATAGAAATACACACAGTGACTTCCAGCCTCGGCATCCCCTCGTCTTAGACACTCACCTTTTGACCCTTGGAGTGACTATAGAAATCATCTGGCCAGACATCCTTCCCAAACATGACRTCATCATTTAGGTAAATAAATTTCTGAGACAGTCCTTCGATGCGATGAATGTGACTTTCAATAGCAGGTGAACTAAAGGTAGGCAAGTGGCTCAAATTTCGAAAAACATCCTTTTAACAGAAAAAMCAAACAACAAAAAAAGGAAGAAAAAAAAAAGGAGAGAAAGGGTGAATKTGAATTGTTCTGGTTTGGACTGGCTGATGGAAAGGAAGGGAAGAAAAGAGTTTAAAAGGTGGACATGAAGGCGAGAGGAGTAGAAGGAATGAGACTCTGAGATTCCTACACCACATTACAAGAAGAGAATAGGAAAGTCCTGTACCTGGTGTGTCACTATTTTCACTCGAGGATTGTCAAGGTTCAACCAGGATGGAATCTGCCCGTTGGTGACAATGAAAATATTCCGAACCCACGGTGCATGCCTCTCRATGGACCGCAACGAGTACCTCAGCTCTTCATTATCTTCAAATCGGCTGGCAGAAACATCCTCGTCCTGCTTGGACTGAGAGAAACAAAGGACACATAAAGATGTGAAGTACCCCTTAAATCACACATCCTCCTCCTCCTTGTCTCTGCCCTCTGAATTCAGGGTGCTCTGGATGACTTTCAAAGACAGAATCTGTGGCTGGGCGTAATGGCATATGCCTTCAATACCAAGTGACTTGGGAGGCTGAAGCAAGGGGATTGCCAGTTCAAAGCCAACTTCAGCAACTTATCGAGGCCCTATGCAATTTAGTGAGACCCTGTCTATAAATAAAATATAAAAAATGGTTGGGAATGTGGCTGGGGATGTGACTCAGAGGTTAAGCCCCTGGGTTTAATCTCAAATATGGGAAAAAAAAAAAAAGATGGAATCAGTGTTTGTCATGGAGACTAAAATGCTCATAAGAACAATTTAGAGAAAGAAAAGTTTATTTTGACTAAGGTTTCAGAGGCTTAGTACACAGTTGCCAACTCCATAGCTCCAGGCCTGAAGTGAGGCAGAGCATCAAGGCAGAGGGTATAGGGGAAGAAAGTTGTTCAACTCACGGCAGCCAGAAAACAGAAAGAAGAGGGTCTGGGGGACAAGATATAGTCCCCAAGGGCATSTCCTCAGAGACCTATTTCTCCAGCTACCCCCACCTGCTTATAGTTACTTCCCAGTATAGCAGTCCTTCCAAATCATTAATCCAACAAATGGATTAATTCACTGATTAGCTTATAGCCCATAATCTTATCATTTCTCCTCTGAACAACCCTGCACTGATCAACATGAACTTTCTGGAGACACCTCATATCCAAACTGTTACAGAATCCTAATTTAGAATATTATAAAAAATGTAAAAGACTCAGTAATATTAACAAACAAAAACGAAAATAAAAACAAAACTTGAAGATATAACATTTCTTTATCACACTTTATAAAAAGGTTTGTAGATATAATTCTAGGTCACTTCAATTAATCTTAAATCAATGGCAGGGACTGGAAAATTAGAAAAGTTCCAATCAACTCACTTCTCTGTAARTTCTCTTCCTTTTAATGGAAACCCTTTACTTGAGTTGTAAAGAATCTTTGCCTTCCTTACCTGGCTGAYGGCACTCAGATCCCATAATAAATATGCAGGACTTATGGTCAGTTCTTTCCCATCGATGGTCATATTCTTCTTAGTTTGCTTATTTAGTTCTTGGAAACCCTTGGGATTATTCAGTTTTAGAAGGGCCACACTAGCCTCTGAATACAACTGCAACTATTAAAAAAAAGAAGAAGAAGAAGAAGAAGAAGAAGAAGAAGAGATACACACAAGAAAACTGAACCTCAAGGAGGAAACCCCCTTAATCTTCCCCTGTAATCTTTGGCAGGGCTGCCTGTAGAAAAACTATCTTTTGGGGCCAAGCTTGTGGAACAATCACAAATCTAAGAGGGAATACAGTAATCATCAGTTAGTTTTATAAACATCAGTTAGTTTTCTCCACCCACTTCAGAGTACATCCCACCCTTTATCTGCTTTATGTTCTGACTCTGTGTCATAGAATTTCCTACAAAAAGAGGCTTTCAGAWCAGAAAATAGGGAGGGGATGAAAACCATGAATCTAGGACAGCAAAATCCTTTGGCTAAACTAGCTCTTCTGACATCAGTTCTTTGTTAATTTATAAAATAGAAGCAAACACAAATCATTATGGGCTCATTCTGAATTCTATATTATGTGAGTATACTTAGCATCTTCTGAACAACTTCCTGAATTTATGGAGACCAAAAAACCAGAGGCTGCAGTTAGAATTCCATGTCTTTCYCCCTTTTTATAATGCAGGCTGCTAACTTGTACCACCAATCGTGCAGGAGTAGATGTGCGCTCGAGCACACGTAAGTATTGTCATCCTGTCTGATTACTTTTTTTACMCTGACGGTTCCTGGCATAGATTAAACACTCATAGAATTCGGCTTTCACTGCTGTCACTACTGTCCTCACCCTGCCTCAGTGTGGGAAATGGGAGGCAAGCCACAAAGGGAGAATATTAGCCTGCTCGGGAACTGCCCGGCCAGCCTCCCTGCTCCTTCTTCCATGGCCCTTCTGAGGGCTCCCTGTAGTGAAAATCATCACTACTCTAGTCTCAATACAGTAACAATACTCCAAATTAATTTTAAATTAATTGGGAAAAATACATTTATCCTAATCTCTTCTATCTAAATTGCTTTTATTTTGGAAAGTTATTCTGAAATTTCACATTCTAAAATTTGTAGATTTTTAACATTAAGATGAATTTAAAATCTAGAAAAGGATCTGACACTAATATATTTCCAAGGTGTAACAGTGCATCCACCTTGCTCCCTGACTTCAGACCAGATCCAATGCCACTGACTGCTGAACACTGGTTCACGGTGGCATTGGTTTTTCCACCTARGCACTGGCTTATCAGAGAGAACCACTTTTTCAGAAGCTGTATATAAAAGAGTGCAATGATATTAAAGTTTAAAAAAAAAATCAGTGAAACTACTGCCTAACACCCTTACATTTTAACTTGATGACAACATTTTCACTTCAGTTTCTACCACCGGCTGGGCACTCAATGTATGCCAGACTTGGCCTGGGTGCTTAGCAAGTGCCACACCTGAGGGGTCAAACTCGGCTCCTAGAGTAGAGTGCATCACTTACTTAGGCTTCTGCTGATGCCACAGGCTGGTCTGTGAGTCACACTGGCATGGAGGACGACTACTCAACAGACTAGCAACACACGCTATCAGACACTTAGCATCGCATGGGTGGGCTCTACAGGGGCCGTGACAAGAAGCAGGTATCTGGCAGGCTGGTTGGGGCAGGGAAGAGCTGCTGGAGAGGCTGTGCTCTAGGAATAGAACCTGGACATTCTCATACCAAGGGACAAGATCATGGCTCCTTCACCATACTAGGTAGTTTAGGTGATCTCTAACCAGGTCCAGAGGGAAGAAATTGCAAARCCTGGCTGGAAAGGGAAGCAGGAGCAACACCTCTACTAAATCTTATGTAACACTCACTGCCCTCTGCTGCAGACAGGCTCCCAGGTCATCATGTAACTATGTAACTACAACTGAAAGGCTGGGGATTCCATTTTAAGACAAAGAAAACAAAACAAAATACACTCCTATTCCAATACTAGCCATTAAGGTATGAAGAAAGTTTTTTGAAAAAGAAAGGAAAAAATCTATTTTACTCCTCACATAGAGGAAAAGAAAATTTCAGAAATTGTGAAAGGGGTGTCAGAATASAATTCTAACACCTATGGGTTCTAACAGAAGATTCAGGAATTCCTAGTGTTATGGGCCAGGCTACATGGCCCATAAAATATTCTCCATTTTGCCCTGGGACTCCATGTYATGTAAGAAACGCTTCTCCCATGGGAACACCCCACCTCTGGACCCATCAATAGTTGCTTAGCATAGCATGTTTGCCAACACAAAATGGCAATTCTTATACAATGTAAAATTGTTCTTTCTTTGGATCCCATTTTTCCTGGATAATGTGCACTGTCACTAGACTTTAGTAACCATTCTTTAACTTATATTCTTCTTATTTTAGATCTCATGTTTGTTTATRGTTTTGAATCATAGCAACAGCCACTTATGATTAATGTGGTTTTGCACTATAAAGGTGGACTCAAACCCCAGGAGGGAGTCAAAGGGTGTAGATTAGTAGCCTGCCCCATGGCAGGCCAGCTGGTGGATCTGGACCCCCTGCTGGTAAATAAAGTTTCCATTTCCTGCTTTAAGATCAACTTGGTGATTTACAGCAATCTTGCCATAACACTAGTATTAAATTACATCTTGTTTGATTTCAYAGCTTATATTCATTTTTTTCTTTGATAAAAGATACATTGCTATAACTATTCTTACATTAGCCACCTTGCAGAGGGCTGATGTCTTTTCTTTCTTTTTCTATTTTTTTTTTTAGAAGAATAAAAGTCTTATTCTAAGCTCACATTTTCAGAGGTTAGTTTGCGCTTGGCCAACTCCATTGTATGGGCCTGTGGTGAGGCAGAACATCATGGCAGAAGGGTRTGTCAGAGGAAAGTAGCTCAGCTCGTGGCAACCAGAAAGTATATATATACCAAGGGCTGATTTCTAATAACATATACACTAAAAGATCAAGAAGAGGTTTTCCCATGGTAACTGTACAAAAGTGGATGGGAGATAAAGAGTAAGGYGTTCAAGGGAATATTTATATGTGAGAGAAAGATTTTCTGCCACTGCAATTAAGCAAGTTGTGAATGGTGAAAGGGTTCCTCTGCCACCACAAGGTGGCAGCCCAATCCCACATATCTTTGTTACTTCTGCCAGAGAAGGGACAGGAGGTGGGTGAGGCAGAAGAGTTGTACTTGGTGGCAGAGGCTGGAGTCCTATGCTTGGTCAATTGTGGGCAACTGCCTCCATAGATCGCTTCTTACTTTGAATTTTACATTTATCTAAATTCTTTAAATATAATTATAAGTTTCTCACAGAAAACAACCTCCACACCCCCCACTACAGACTCTTAAGGAGAGGTAGCAGGACTGCAAAATGAGCTGTTATGTTTGAGCCAATGAGATTTGGGAGTGTTTGCTACTGTTACATCATCTAGAGCAGCAGGATGGGCACACCTTAAGTCCAAATGTAAGGATCTAGTGTAGGATTCCAGGTATAGGCATCTTCCTAGATTCACTTTAGATAAATCCAGGAAGAGGTGAGCCAGGAAGAAGTGAGGAAAGATTGAGAGAGATGAAACAAAATGATGGTCCAGGACAGGACCTGGGCAACCTATAATAGCAGCAAGAAGAATTACTGCATTTCTTTTTATAAATTTTGCAAAAATCATTTCTTTGCAACAAGAAGAAAAATAGTTCCAAGAAAAATGCTGAATCCTGGTATACGTCTAAAGATAAATAATGGAGACCAAAATTAAGGGGTGAGAAACCAAAATTAAGGGGCTAGGTAATTAGCAGGTCAGTGCCAAGTGGCTTCAGARGAGTAATGGACATGGAAACCAGATGCCAAGGACTTGACCGCTCACGGACAACTTCCAGAAACTATCTATATATGTGTGGGTGTACGGGAACCAAATCTAACACTTTACATTGGGTTTACTGTATGAAATAGGACAGGGAAGAGAAAAGAATTAGAGAGGTATTTTTTCACAAACTTAAATTCAGGATTATACTGACCAAGTCATGAAATATAAGGATTTTAAAAATGTAAGAAATCTTCACTTTTCAGTTCTTTTAAGTGATGACAAACTATCAAAGAAAGACTGGTGTTTATTAATGTCACAAGTGTACAAACATGGAAAAGTAAAAATACTGGTTTTGTGAAGTTATTCTAATTAAATAGTTCCACTGTTCTTAGCATAGTATCTCACATTTAGATTTTGGCTTAAAAAATAATAACAGCCAACAAAAAAAGAGTATGAATGCATGTTTTTAAAGTCAACCAAAAGTAATGAATGCAGAAGAGAACTCACCCCTTAAGGCACACAAAATAGTCATGTGTTAAGGTAGACCTTACTTAAAAATCATTTCTTTTCATAAATTTTGCAAAAATAATTTCTTTGCAAAGTTATTTCAAACTGATCATATATAAATGCCTAAAAGGAAGGCTGTTAGAGTCTGTAAACAAGTCAGGATGGCGCCTGGCAAATGTTAGGGTCTGTAAACAAGTCTGGATGG